ATAGACAAATATTGGTAGGTCGCATAAAAAGCTCTTATAAGATCTTTATTACTAGTTTAGCGCCAAAACTATATAGCGCTACAAGGCGGCCAATGACCATGCAGTAGCAGCCAAACCCTAGCCCTGGGCGGCATTCATTATTTTTGGAGTTGCCTGGTCTGGTGGGTTGGATCTTATTCTTAGAGACTTACCCGCAAATCTCATTAATTATATATATATATATATATATGGTCACATGCCAATTTCTGCCACCCATAATTTGGTCCCCTCCCGCCCCCTTCTATTCATTAGGGTCCACCCGTCCCAATAGTCGAAATCACAACTTCATTTTGTAACGTTCTTGATATAGAACATATAATTCACCTCTTAATTAGAGATCAACTATCTTGATTCTCATTTTGACATGTTCTTCTAAAATTGAGGTGCTTAGGTGAAGAATATTTGAGTGAACAAAATAAATCATATAAAAGTTACCCACTTGCATTTGGACGAGTTTGAAGGTCACTAACCATACGTATAAATTATAGTGCATGCAACACTTGATTAACTGGTAGCTACTATCACCTCTCGAGTGGCTCACTTTCAATTCAAATGGCTCCATTCTTCCTGATTCAGACCATGCAACAACGAGTGTCTATGATTTGTTCTATTATCCAAGCAGAATTGAGAGACAATGTGGAAGATCTTTAACTGGCCTAAAACTAGGGGTGGCTATACGGTCCGATCCGGTTAAATTGGACCAAATTGATCCTGTTCCAGTCCGGTCTTTTCGGGAATATAAGGACCAAAGATTGGATTGGATACACTCCGATCTTGATCCGGTCCGGTCCCAATTTGATTTTGATTTTAGATTGAGCTTGTGGGGATTTGAGTGTTGGGGTCTCTTATCTGGTCTTTATCCGGGTTTTTTTTACCTCAAATCTAAGCCCGAATATAAGATTGGATTGTTTGTTATCCGGTCCCAATCCGGGTTATACGATCCGATTTCGGGTAAAACCAAACAATCTTGGACCAAATTGCCAGCCCTACCTAAAACGTTGGTCACCGTTGTCTATGCACGGAGCTTGACATCAGACGTGTGGTTCAGCTCCTCCATAGTAGAGAGTTCTCAGATCATCATCACACTGCCATCATCAACCGCTTCCAGGCTTTACTTGCTGTGCCTGTGATTGGGAGGTTACTATCTCCCATATTTATTTTGAGGGAAATAAGTGTATTGATTAGCTCACTAATCATGGTTACTCTTTATCTTTGGGGTTTCATGCTATTTCCGTTTATAATCCTGTGTACTTGGTCACTTTATCATGTATGATTGAAACTGTCAAGGTCTTTCTGAGCCTCGTTTTGTTGTGAAAGAAAAATGAGAGGCACAACCTCAATTAAAAAACTAGTAGCTACAAGATAGTACAAAATCATGTAATTGTTAAATTAATGAACTAATGGAAACAACGGAAACTCAAGAGTTTTTACCAGTATATATATGGTATGCATCACCTTCAAAAGGATGGGATATGGTTTGGTTTGAACTAAAATCCCTTTATCATGGCTAATTACGATTAAATTTGGAGTTCATCACAAGATCTACACATAAGGATAATGCCTTCGTTCTTTGAGTAATTTGACCCAATCGTCATGGCTCGTATAAGTATTGGTTCGGACTCAAGTGGATTCATATTAATGATCTTAGATTTATGTGAGATTTGAATTGGGTATGATTTGGGACAACTCATTTGATCCAACACAAATGGATCTATTTGGGTCCATATAATTGTACAGACGAAAAACAATATCGACTATCTCATCAATTGCCCTCAACCAATCTATACTTTTAATGTTGGTGTTTGCATATTCATGTTTTTTTTATGGGAAATATGGTTCATTTCATTAAGAGAATCTTAGGGCCCAAGGCCCAAATCAGCATCAATCATACAACAAAAGGAAAGGGGAGGGTTATCAACCCAAACCACTTGATGATCCCACCCCAACCCAATGTGAGCCAACCAGTGGGTCACAACATTTGTCTTTATCGGGCGAAAATCCCATCTCACTTCACATCCCGACAAGGATTCATTCACTCTACCCAACCGTTTCAGCTCATCGGACCAAAATCCCAACTCAGTTCGATCTTCATTTCCTTTCCTCAATTGATTCATCAAGACCTGGCAATCTGATTCAACAATCAGGGGACTAAGCTCTCTGCGGTTTGCTTCCCTTAAGCCCATGACCAGAGCTTTCGCCTATGCTTCAATCGATCTACAGATTCCTTTCTCCCTCTTCGCCATCGCCCACACAAAAGCTCCTCGCCAGTCACGAATGATACATCCCAAGCCAATCCCTCGATCTTTAATCACCCCAGCATCGGAATTCAGCTTGTAGACACCCTCCGGAGGCGGAATCCAGTGGCCCTCTTGAATCGTGCGAGCATGAATAAGATCACCCCTAGGGTCTGTGTTGGGTGATTCATGAGCAGCCAGGAAAGCCGAAAGCCACCGCAGAGCACGAGGAATAATATCATCCTCCTCCATCTTCCGATTATTGAATTTGTGATTGCAACGCTCTTTCCACAGGTACCATAAAATCTCGCAAAACTTTTGTATTCGATCTTCTGGGAAGTCATTCATAACTTCTTTTATCCATTCAAAGCAGGACTTCCCTTCCCCCTTTTCAAAAAGATCCTTCTCCTCACAATTCCTCCACCGTCTTCGAATCCAGTCACATTCATGGAGGGCATGCTCTTGGGTTTTCGGGAGGTTGCTGAAGGGACACTCAGGAGCAGCACAATCAATCCATTCCTCAACGTGAACACCCACAGGTAAAATGTTCTTACACACTTTCCATAGAAAAGTTCGGACCTTAGGCTGAATATGGAGCTTCCAGATAGCTTTCCAGACCTCAGAATACTTTGGGTTAAGATAATGAGAACGAGTAAGATGACTAGGTTGTTTGTTTCGAATGAATGAGTAGGAAGATTTCACTGAGTAAATCCCTCCGTCCGAGTCTTTCCAAACTCTGGAATCAGGGCCAAGAGGGAATCTGAGAGGGATTTTTGCTATTAGAATCTGATCATCCCGAGAAAAGAGCTCCTTGAGTTTATCCACATCCCATTCCCCTGAATTGACATCTATGAGGGTGTTGACAGGGGCATCAGGGATAACCCCATTAGGAATAGGATCAGCCTGGAAAAAGCTCTTCCCTGGTATCCATTCATCACTCCAAATGTTGATAGACTCCCCATTCCCCACTCTCCACCTGAAACCATCAGCAATTTCTTCTTTTGCAGCAATAATACTCCTCCAAATAAAACTTGGTTGGAAACCCAGTTTAGCCTGTAAAATATCAGATTTAGGAAAATATCGAGCCTTTAACACTCTATCCATAAGAGAGTGGGGTTTGTTAAGAACATTCCAAACCTGCTTTCCAAGCATAGCTAGGTTGAAAGCCTTGAGATCCCTAAACCACATCCCCCCATCTTCTTTGTCATCACACATCTCATCCCACTCAATCCAGTGAATTTTTTATTCTTTGCCCTTCTGACCCCACCAGAAGTTAGAGATTGGTTTCTGAATTTCCTTTAGAGTTCCTTCTGGTATATGAAAAACAGACATAGGGTATAAACATTGAGCTTGAGCAACAGCCTTAATGAGAATCTCCTTCCCAGCCTGTGACATTGTTCTACTCTTCCAGCCTTTGAGCTTCTTACGCACTCTCTCTTTAACTTCCTCGAGTATAGCCTTTTTAGATCTTCCCACAACACTAGGCAGTCCAAGATATTTGGACTGCCACCAATTTCAGTGCTAATCCTCTTTTTCACTCCCGCATGAAGCATTTGGCGCTTGACTTCCACTTCATCCATCAACTGGTCCAGGACGGCCGTCTTCGCGTCAGTTACATCCCCACAGCTCATCAGCTAGCCGACACTATCACTAAGCCGCTACCTGCCTCCCATTTTCTTCTTCTGCGGTCCAAGATTGGAGTCGTTGACACCTCCTCCATCTTGCGGGGGCGTATTAGAGAAAAAAGAATAATATTTTTTTTTTTATTATTTGTTGTACCTATTAGTTAGCCACTCTCCCTCTTTCTTGTACACGTTCTCACTCTCCCTCAACAAACTCTCCTGTAAAAGTGTATAAAAGTAAAACTGAATACAGATGTGAAGATCACGTTTGATTGCACCAATATTCTCTCTACAACAAATTCAATTCTCTAACATAGAATACCGGCGAGATTAATTATATAAAGCCTATTTAATTGTAAATTAATACGTAGGATATGGCTTTGTGGTGTGGTGTGGTGTAATAATACTAGTAATTAATTAAGAATGTACAAACAAGAAATTGGTTTAATAATAGTGATAATATCACTAGTTCTAAACTTAGGTTCAAATTCATTAAATAATAGCTAACCACAAAAAATAACTATATATCACCCTTATTAAAAAATATTCACAAAAAATAAACATATATCACTTTTATTAAAAATATATATAGTTAATGATGATAAGGATATATATAGGGCATCAATTTGGCCCAAAAAACTTTTACAAATACAGTTTTTTGGCTATAACTTTTAGATATGTATTTTTTAAAATAATCAATTAAGTATTTGACTGATACTATTAAATGATAAAAATATATATAGGTCAGTTGTTTCGAGGATAAAACTAGAGCTTTTGTTTTATGTTATTAAAATCATTTTTTAACTTTTCCAGAAGATGGAATTATAGAGCAATTTGGTCCGATCTAATTTTTATGATACAAATCTAATTTTTACCTATACCTAAGGTGCAAACATAAATAATTGTTTAATTTTGTCCAAGATTGAGAAAAAATAGTTGCAGCAGCAATACTAAAAACAGAGAGCTTGCTTAGCTTGTTGGTAGCCATAAAAAAAAACTAATTTTGGAAAAAGCCTAGCGAGAACTGGGTCTGGGAGAGCCAGCAAGCCAAGATGGCAGCTCTAAGCAACATATATATCGATCCTCTTCTTTAAAAGGAGTTTAGGGCACGAGTTCCATTAACAAGCTAAGGGACTTTATTTATTCTCTTAGTTTAAGCCTTTCCCTTTGCTTCATCATTGTCCTTCCTTCTAACGTAACATGACACAACACTCCACTCATCAGAAAGATCAAATAAAATCAACATGCACAGCTTCAGTACGGGTACACCAACACATGCATGCAGTCCCACAGCCACAAACAAATAAATGAGTTGTAATAATTGCACTATCTAAATATTAATTTTCAATCTGTCCTTTTGAAAACCGACCGGCATCTAATACATACAGTATATATAGTACTTTTCTTTTCTTTTCTCACTCGCAAAACCTACTTCCTAACCTATCTTTCCATTGGCTCCCATATCCCACCTAACCACTAAGAAGAAGCTAAGGGACAGACAGACAGACAGACAACATTTCCTTTTCGATGGAACTCTTCCAACTTCCCACCAGCACCACAAGTAGTTCTAGTTCATCTTCCTCCTCCTTCTTCTTCATCCTCCTCCTCCTCCTCCTCCTCCTCTTGGTTCTCTTCTCCCTTTGGCTCCGCCGGTGGTCGCGGTGGTGGTGCAACTGCGAGATCTGCCAAGCCTACGTGACGCAGAGCTGGAGAGACAAGTTCGTCAACCTCTCCGACTGGTACTCGGACCTCCTGTCCCGCTCCCCGACGCAGACCATCCACGTCCACGTCCTCGGCAACGTCATCACCGCCAACCCGGGCAACGTCCGGCACATCCTCAAGTCCAACTTCCACAACTACCCAAAGGGGAAGCCCTTCTCCTCCATCCTATCCGACTTCCTCGGCCACGGCATCTTCAACGTCGATGGCCCTTCCTGGCTCTTCCAGCGCAAGCTCGCCGCCTCCTCCCTCCTCCTCCCTTCCTCCTCTTCCTTCCTCACTACCATCGTCCTCCACGAGCTCCACCACCGCCTCCTACCCCTCCTCCTTTCTTCCTCCTCCTCGGCCGCCGTCGTCGACTTGCAAGACCTCTTCCGCCGCTTCTCCTTCGACACCATGTGCCGCTTCTCCTTCGGCCTCGACCCCCGCTGCCTCCTCGACGTCTCCGAGTTCGCCCAGGCCTTCGACCTCGCTTCCAGGCTCTCCGCGGAGCGTGCCATGGTAGTCTCCCCTCTCGTGTGGAAGCTGCAGAGGTTCTTCAACATCGGCAAAGAGAGGAGGATGAAGCAGGCCATCCGCTTGGTGGACGCGGTGGCGCACCAGGTAATCACCAAGAAACGGAACCTACTACTTCTTCTGCTTCTTCGTCCACCTCATGATCAGAATCACCACCACCAGGAGGAGGAGGATCTGCTGTCCCGGTTCATGCGGGTGGTCGAAAACGACGACGTATTCCTCCGCGACATCATCATCAGCTTCCTCCTCGCGGGGAGGGACACCGTGGCGGCCGCACTCACCAGCTTCTTCTGGTTGCTCGCCAAACACCGGCACGTGGAGTCCGAGATCCTCGCGGAGGCCACCCGCGTCCTGGGCCCCGACGACGCGGTTGTAATTACGAGCTACGAGCAGGTGGAGAAGCTGCAGTACCTCCACGCGGCGGTGTACGAGAGCATGAGGCTGTACCCGCCCATCCAGTTCGACTCAAAGTTCGCCCAACGCGACGACGTTTTGCCCGACGGGACGGCCGTGAGGAAGGGGGATAGGGTTACCTACCACCCGTACGCGATGGGGAGGATGGAAGGGATATGGGGCCGGGACTGCCTGGAGTTCAAACCCGAGAGGTGGTTGAGGAGGAGGAGGAGGAGCGGGTCCTTCTGCCCGCCCGGGAACCCGTTCGAATACCCGGTTTTCCAGGCCGGGTTGAGGGTCTGTCTGGGGAAGGAGATGGCCTTGGTGGAGATGAAGACCGTGGCGGTATCCTTGCTTCGGAGGTTCCACTTCAACCTAACGACGTCCGAGTCCGATCACCACCACCCGAGATTCTCGCCTGGCCTCACCGCCACTTTCAGCGGCGGCTTGCCGGTCCTCGTACGACAAAGAAATTAAAGGTATTCGATCTGTGGTTTGTTACTCGATCCACTCGCATGAATATATCATGATGATGCAGATTTCGTTTCAAATTAACCCGGCCGGCCCGCCCACCATTGGATTCACTATTATATATATATGTGGTTTGAGGTTTAGGCGAACATCAACTGGAATGGAATGGAAGAGACTTGATGGAAGGAAAACAGATCGAAGAAGAAAGAAAGAAAGAGACAGTATGTGGGTCGTATATGCAGGATTTGAATATATATGGCCACGTGCCAACTCAGCTTGATTGATTGAATTAATTGTCGCAATATAAAATCTCTTCTCTTCTCTTCTCTTTGGTGTGTCGGCAGCGCCATGTATATGTTCGGTATGTAATTAATTGTGTATGAATGTAGTGCAAATAATTCAACTTTGATTTCATGTGTCTTGTCTACGTACGTACGTACACAAATGCATGTTGTTTACAACATATCGTCATTCTCAAATGGAGGTCTCAAAATTAAACTAGCTAACAGCAGTGTTGTGCTCAAAACCTTTGTATTCGATCTCCTGAATGAGCCTAGCTAGCTAGAGTTTGAATTCTCCTACACTACAAAGACGCCCTAATGACCTCCCCCTACAAATCATATATAGTACGTATTTGGATGGAAACAATATTCTTCATCCGATCCGATGCACTTCTCATTTCGAGATATAATGGTTAGTATTAAAGATGATTATCATCATTCAAATACATCATCTATTAATCTCTAGGGGAGTCTCATTAAAAAAATGAGCCATGTATAATATAATATTATTTACCGTTTCCCAATAGACAATTAGACTAGTTAGTTAAAAACTTAAAATACATTATCAAGTTGTTCGCATAATTTGGATCACATTTGATCTAGCTAGCCTGTTTTCTTGGCAGGTTTCGGTCCACTCCCTAGCTCGATCGAGGTCTGCAGCCTTTCTATGTTAGGTTTCGGTCCACTACCCGCTGCTGCGACGGTGGCGCTGTCAGCATCTGGTTCATTGAATCTGAATCTACTGTCAGAACTCAGCGTTAGCTCTTTGGAAATAAGCTCGAAAACTCGCGAGTTTTTGTTGTTTGCAGCGTATGTATGAAACTTTTATATTATCCACTTATCGCTGCACGAAAATATATAGGGAAAATTTTGAGCTCCAGTCCAGTCCATTTGGATTTGGTGATCAGATATTGTCGGTGCTGGTGCATGGTCAATTGGTGAGCTCTGGTAGTGGTATGTACGTCCGTTGGCACTCTTTTGTTTAATGTTTAGGCTTCGTGCAAGCCAAGCATTGTGCCTTACTTACTTTTCTTTACTACTTCACTAGCATTGGGCCTTAAATGGGCCTGGCTGGGACATACTGAAATACCTATTTGAGGCCATGGGCTGCTGATCCAAAAGTAGAAAGAAAATGAGGAGAAAGCCCAACCTCAATAACGAACTGAAGAAGCATTCTTAGTCGTTACCACTTTCAAGAGATTTTTTCCCTTTATTGGATTCATCGGTGGGTTTATTCTTTATGGTCGTGTTCAATATAGGTGTTCAGTTACTTGGTACGCTTGATCTTGTTATATTTCTGATTTTGCTTGATCTTGTTATATTACCGATTTTGCTTGATCTTGTTATATTCCTGATTTTGAACAAAAAACATGTCTCATTTTTTTCTCAGTCAAGAACAAAATGAAAGTTACTTAGTAATAAGTTATTGTTAGGATACAAATTGGATATGTATATTTTTATTTAGATATTTTATTTTGTAGATAATAATTATTGTGGGAGGGAGATGAGTGAAAAGGTCTTTGGGGGATTTGGTTAGATGTCGAAACCGGTAAAATTCTCCGATTTACTGCCCTTCCCAGGATCCACAAAATCCTAACACTTCCTCCCCCATCTACTGCGCTCTCTTCTATGTGTATGTTGAACCAAATAAATAATTAACAACTTCTAATTAATTCCCTTTTTCCTTTTCTATTAATAACCATTCTCTAACAACAAAAAACAACTCTCCTTCCTCCCAATTAATTCCCTTTCTTCCTGTATTCTTCACTCTATACGTACATGGTGAATCCAATACATTTCTCAGCAAAAATGCCGTCTTCGATCCACTTCTTCTTCTTCTTACCACTGCTCATTACCCTTCTACACCTCTCTTCCTCCATCACCCATGCCACTGTTGCCCAACAAAGAAAGGTTCGTATTAGATCTCATGTTATTTATGGAATAATTGCATTCTAATTGATCGGAGAATCACGAGTGATATGTAGTAATGCCGTAGCAGTATGTTTGTTTACATACATGATGATGATATACATGTAATTATGTATACATGTATATGGAAATTGACATGTGTGGATTTCGATTGTATAATTATGTATACATGTAATTCATGATGTGGCTAGAAGCTGCTTACGAATTCGATTAATGTAGTACTAATATTTTGGTGGTGATGATAAAATCAGGTGTACATAGTGTACATGGGAGATGTATCACCAACTAGATCTCATATTTCAGCATTAGACCAACACCATGACTTGCTTCTCTCGGCAATCCAAGAGTAAGATTAATAAATAAAACAATTATTACTAGGTGATTGCGATTGATTTACTTTCCTCGTGAAATTCAATCAATATGAATTATATTTTCAGTGAATCCATAGCTAGAAGTGCCAAACTATATAGCTACACGAGAAGTTTCAATGGGTTTGCAGCGAGGCTTTTCCCCGAAGAAGCTCATAGGATAAGGGGTAAAATTCAAGTTATTTTCTGTCGACGTGATGTTGTTCCTGAATTTCGAAATGTAATAATGTAGCTAGTGATGGAATTCATTTTGCCCATATTTGTGTGTTTTGCAGGGCGTGAAGGTGTAGTCTCTGTGTTCGAAAGCCAAAAGAACCAACTACACACAACTAGGTCATGGAACTTCCTAAAGATGCCACAAGATGTCAGGAGAAAAGCAACGGTGGAAAGCAACATAATCGTTGGTTTGTTGGATACTGGTAACAACTCAAATCAAATTGTTGACCAAAGTCTTCAAATCTTTGTTTCAATTAACCAAAAAACATTAACGTAGTAGGGTGGGGCGGGGGAATGTAAATGATGATTACATTACAGGAATCTACCCGGATGCTCCAAGCTTCAACGCTTCAGGCTTTGGCCCACCGCCAGCCAAATGGAAAGGCAAATGCGACTCCGGCGCCAACTTCACCGGCTGCAACAAGTTAGACCTTCCATTTCATTCAAATTTCCCCTGTTTTCACACCCACCTCCCTCTCTGCTTCGTTTCTAATTCTGATTGATTCCCCATCGACCAGTAAAGTGATCGGAGCGAGATTCTACAACCTGGACCAGCTGGACCCTAACATCGATGTCGAGACTCCCGCGGACTTGGACGGCCACGGCTCCCACACCTCCTCCACGGTGGCCGGAGTTCCCGTCGGGGGAGCCAGCCTGTACGGAATCGCCAGAGGAACCGCCAGAGGTGGTGTCCCCTCCGCCAGAATCGCCATGTACAAGGTCTGCTGGAGCAGCGGCTGCGACGACGTCAATTTGATGGCCGGATTCGACGACGCAATCGCCGACGGCGTAGACCTCATCTCCGTCTCGATCGGCGGGAGCCCCAAACCGTTTCACGTGGATCCCATAGCTATCGGGGCCTTCCACGCCATGAAGAAGGGGATTCTGGTTTCCTGCTCAGCTGGCAACATTGGGCCGGCTCTGGGCACGGTTCAGAATGTGGCGCCATGGATCTTGACGGTGGCGGCTTCCAACCTTGACCGCCAGTTCAAGACTGCCGTCAAGCTGCGCAACGGGGTGAAATCTGCAGTGAGTCCCTCTGTTCATTTCTAGTTGAAGTTGGGTACTAGTATCTACGAGCTCACGCATGCAATGCATCTCTCTTTTCTTACCAGGGAATTTCGATCAACACATTTTCGCCCAAAAGGGCCATGTACCCACTAACCAGCGGGATTCAAGCGGCCATAAACGTGAGTGGATATGGGAATGCAAGGTAAAAAAAAGAGGGATCAAATCGTTGAATGAAGGATTTGTTCCTTTCAGACTTCAATTGGGGAAATGAATTTGTTGAATTGATTGGGCAGCGCTTGCGATTATGGGACTCTCGATGAAAAGAAAGTGAAGGGGACGCTCGTGTTCTGCCGGGGAAGCGCCAACCAAGACTACTCCATTAACGAGATGAAAGGTGCCGGAGTGATCATGACCGCCGCACAAATGTCCGACATCGCCGCCCTCACCATCATCCCCGGAACCGTACTTACCGTCGCCGACGGCGACAAGATCGATAGATACATCAACACTACCAAGTACCCAAGGGCCGTGATCCAAAAGACAAGGACGGTCCACGTCAGCGCCCCAGCAATTGCCTCCTTCTCATCCAGAGGGCCTCAATTTATCAGCCCCAGCATTCTCAAGGTAAACTAGCTAACTAACTGAACTGAACAACTGCTTCCTCCCTCCTCTCCTCTGACCATCCACACATACTTTCCCTTTCTCTGGCTCGCAGCCGGACGTTGCAGCCCCTGGTCTGTCCATATTGGCCGGCTACTCGACCCTCGCCACTTTGACCGGAACCAAGGATGACCCCCGCCGGTATCCCTTCAATATCATCTCCGGAACTTCCATGGCTTGCCCCCATGTTACCGCCACCGCAGCCTATGTCAAGAGCTTCCACCCTGACTGGTCCCCTGCCATGATCAAGTCCGCCATCATGACCACAGGTAGGTAACTACTCAACACAGAGCTTGGAAGTTGGACGGGACCCAGTGCTCCAGTTTCAATTTAACAAAGTAACACATTTCGCTCGCTTACTTGCCAGCCACGCCAATCAAGATCCCGGCAGAAGGTGAAGGCCTGGCAACAGGGTCGGGCCAGATCAACCCAACACGAGCCCTTCACCCAGGCTTGGTCTACGACATGGCACTGACCGACTACATCAGCTACTTGTGCAAAGAAGGCTACAACGACTCCGATATCAGCCTCCTTTACCACAGCAGGAAAAACCTCTCCTGCGCAGACATCAAGCCAGCCAAAGGCAGTGACGGCCTCAACTACCCTTCCATGCACTACCAGCTCAATGCCAGCATCACAACCTTCTCTGTCGAGTTCCACCGCAGTGTGAAGCATGTCGGGTTTGGACACTCCGTCTACAAGGCCAAGGTCAGCTCACCCAAAGGCATTTCGATAGAGGTATTTCCGGAGAAATTGGTGTTCAATAGGAAGCATCAGAAACAAAGTTTTAAAGTCCGTGTAAGCGGGGAACTGAAGAATGGTACCTACATTGCCACGGGCTCCTTGGTTTGGGATGACACCAAGCATGTTGTTCTTAGTCCGATCGTTGTGTACAAGCCACAGGTTTGGTCAGGATAATCTTCTTATTCTTCTTCTCCTCTCCCTATTATAGGGCTTTTCTTGTAGGTTTGCTCTTTGCATGTTAATCACACACGGGTAATCAGAAATTTTTGTCCAAGCTTAAACAAGCTTCTGAAATTATCTGATTTGCGTGCATCTCAAGTTAGGACAGCAAACAGGGAGCACGAAATTGCATCAGCCATCAAACAGATAAAGTTGATTGTTCACGATCTAAACTATAAAACCGAGATTCAGTAGATACGACCAGCCAATACGATCACCTGAGCATTCGATTGCCATAATAGCCAAACAAGGGAAAATAGTTGTTTATTGCACAGGGAGGAATACATTGTCCATCCTCTCGCTCAAAGCTGCCTTTCCAATTTTGCTCATCAAAATGGCAGCATCACACTCTATTTTAAATGTAGGCCTAACTCTAAACCTCTCTTTTGGTTGAAGGAAAATAAAACTACCCTCTCTCTCTCTATAAGTATCATTCTAGCCTCTCTTGGCTCTCAAAACATTTGGTAAAGTCCTACAAGCGGCCTGTTCAACAAGACTACCAAAATTTTAATGCAATCAGCAAACAAGCAAAAGTAGCCCTGAACTGCATAAGCTGAGATCAAAGGACAGAGATATCTTAACAGTTGGTTCGACATTGTCGGCCATGAAGGTTCTTTAACCTCGTGAGCTCCTTTCTTCTCCTCCTCGCCACAGTTGCAGCAGCTGCATCCACCAGCTTCTTGCTTGAAAAACTGAAGACATTGTGATCACAAGTCAGGCCAGCTTTTAGCTTAGCACCATCACCTGCCCCACTGCAAGACTGCAAATCGATCTCACTTTTAACACCATCAATTGATGAAGGGGCAACAGAAGGGGCAAAAATAACCTCGTCCTGCTGCCCATCATATTCCCCACCTCTATCTCCCACCGGAATCTCGTTGAGATCGTCAATCACCATCACTTCTGCAGCTTCTGATTCCACCTTCTGAGGGATAGATGTACCACCGCTGCATTGATCGTCCACCGTCGTAGCTACTACATTGTGGAAGTGTTTAAAGTCGTGGGAGGACTGAGGATGATGCTGAGCATTGGCGGAATTATCAGCCACCGGCAGGAACCAAGGGCAGGACATTAGGTAGAGCGAGGTTCTAGCATTGGTATTTGAACTGGTTTCCTGAGCTTCTTGAGATTGGACAATGGGAGGCCAACAGAATGGTGCAAATGCGTGTTGGTTGTAGAATAGCATCTGACAGTTTGCAGGTGGATGATGGTTAGGCATTTGAAACCATGATTGTTTAAGTTCTACTCCTGCTTCTTCCACTACCACGGCTTTTATTGCCTTGGCCATCTGGAAATAAAAACAAACAGGAGGGTAAGAACTAATAAGCATTCGCTAATTGGAGAAAAACCCATGCATATCACTTATCATACCTGTGACTTCAACTGCCTATTAGTTGTCTCCAGGGACTCCTGCTCTTTCAGAGCTAACTCCTTTTCCTTCACAATACAAACAGAGTTGATGTTGGCATAACAAGTTCTAGCGCAACTGTGAATTCTTGATAGAGAATGCAAAGAGGTGTATGTTTCTTACCCTCTTCAGGTTTTCATTCTCCACCGCTAGACAGGCAGCTTTCCTAGTTAATTCTTCACACAGAGCCTGAAGCAAGTTGAAGTGAGATTAGAGTGTGATGAAACTCCTCTATGTCAGTTAGTAGTTGACAAGTTCAGAATGGAAGTCTCATAAAGTAACAGACTTGACATCGGAGAACTGATGAAGATAGAACAAGTTTTATACCTGTCGACGGCGAATTGTCTGCCTAGCAGACTCTCTATTTGCCAATATTCTACGCAGTCTTCTTGCTTCCTTCTCAGCCTAACCAGTAAAAGAAATAAACTCTCAGAAACATCCAAGAAAGACGAAAGGGAAGGGATTACCCTTTCATACCTCGGTCAAAACTTGCCTCGATCTACCACCACCAAACGGCGGGAAGCTCCGAGCTCCACAACGTTTATGAAGTAGATCAGCACTCTTTTCAGGCTTAACGGGACTTATGGCTATAGTTTCACTTCCACACACTGGCTGCTGCTGCTGCTGAAAATCCTCAGCAGCTGGTTGGTCCTGTTATAAACAAAAATATGTCTCAATTCCTGCACGAAAATGGTGCCATTCCTTGGTGACATATCACTATGAATCACCAACCCACCAAACTAATTGGACAGTAGAACAAATGCAGAGCAAAAATGCCATTCAAGGTAAAATTTCGCTTCTTAGCCACTTTCACCATCTTGCCAATCTCAAAGTCATAGATGAAAGACCACTTGCCAATTGAATTTTCTATTATAATCCAAGGAACTCCCCAATCATCATTAACCTCTTGGTTGTTCATAATTAGCAACCGACATTCCGTTGGATGTCTCCATTTCCGCGGCAACACTAGAGCCCAATCTTTCAACCACTGTCACCATCACTACCTTCCCTAGTGACTTGGCAATTCAGGAAAAACCTACCTAACGAGCAAGCCAAACAGATTGGGGGAAATTAAACTCGATCTAAAAACAATTCTTTTTTGTTTTTAAACTATTTTTTATAAACTGACCGGAGGAAGATCCTGGACCGAGTCAAGGACAGTGTTCAAGGCAGAGTGATGAGTTGGAGGAGGAGGAGACTCGCTCTTGACCCGCTTCTTGGCCCGCTTCCCTTTGCTCCCCCATTTACTCGGCGAACCGCCGCCTTCGCGCATCGCCAAATGCGCCAAATCCGCGAGCGCCTCCGCCGCCTCGAGCTCTACCCGGACCATCCGATCCACCCCGGCCGCCGCCGCCGAGGAAAAAGAAGAAGACGAAGACGCGGAAGAAGAAGCGGCGGTAGAAGAGGACGCAGCGGCAGAGTTCGAACTCCACTCGGCGACTCTCCCCATTTCCATCGCTACAGAAATTCGAAAAAGCAACAAAAAAAATAAAAGGAGTGGGACTGTGGGAGAGATGTGAAGGAGGTGAGAGAGGGAACTGCCGAAGCAAGGAAAAAAAGAGGGCAAGGAGAGGGAAATATTACTAGTGGCTGGCTTAGCCCACAGATTGCCTAGCGACGGCCACGTGTCGTGCCAACTCACCCCATGGCCTAAAACTCCCGCGCCGTGTATCCATGCCCGCCACGTTTCGGTTCCCCAGATCCCACGTCGGCCCGCCCGCCCACTATCCTTCGCACGAGCAACCTCCCGGCACGTACGAGAGCGAAGAGAAGGCGATTTCGGTTACCGATGGAGAGACAACACGTGGCGAGCAGGAACCCACCCCATGTGGAGCCAGGCTACTCGTGCGGCTGTTCTGGCTTCTCGGAGGTCTCGCCGCGACTTTAACCGCCGGGGAAAAATAGTAGAAACATTATACTCTGCCACTCTGGTCTCTGTTCCTTTATACAAACAAGTTTTATTTACCGCGGTTAAAAAGGGAAGGGGAGGTCAGAGGTGACAGTGTGGAGGTTGCGGGTTGGTTACAACTTACATTGCAGATGCAGAAGGTGAATGACTGAAGAGAAGAGAAGAGAAGAGAAGAGAGAGGCCCAATTGGCTGACAATGGGACGCTGATGTGATGATGTAAGGTGTGGGTCCCACAGCAGATGGGGTGATGACGCATGGGCCAACTTGCAAGAAGGATTTTGCAATTACCAAGGCTTATATCAATGGCGTAAGCCCGCCTGCAGTTTCCAGCTGGCTTTCACTCTAACCTTGGGCCCGCAGTTGGAATATTATCAGCCCAACCAAGTCTCAGATTTGGGTTTCGTCTCAAGCCCATAATGCTTTCTCATCAACAAGTTCACCTAGTGGCACGGCACACATCAAACAATGAAAAGCACTAATTATCAATCATGTTAGTTGTTAAATTATATAGGTATCTTTCTGTTTATGAATGATGATAAGTATGGTTACAAAATTTCATAGGATAACATAAGTTAGGACCTAAATTTTGATAGGATTTTTTAAATATAGTGTTGCGGAAATTGAATTGGCCCATTTTGCTCATTCAAATGGGTAATCATTTGATACATTCTTCATTCGTTGCTAGCCGACAAAATAATTTATATTATATGCAGTGGTAGCCTTACAACTCTAAAATTTTGGACTATAATTTTGAAGGTCATATAAGATGAATGAATCAAAGTCACTTAATTTGTCGAAAAAAGTCGTGTCAAATACATCAGAACTATATACCTGCATCATCTAGACTTGGTTATTGCTAACTAAAAAATGACGCCCTCTAACAATTCCTATGTGGTGGAGGAGATTCATATCCAGTATTATGCAAAAATAAGGACACACAATGCATTGGTGACTATGAGTGTGAGATGAGATAGTACTATAGTCTATAGTAGTTTAATCCGTATGCAAATTAAATATGTAGATTCTTTTCATCTCGAACATGCACATTATGCTAAGCGATCGAGATGGTCAAACTATAAGAAGACAATATAATGAGCGCACTACTTCGATCAACTCCCCCCAAGTTTCTTGGGCAACATGTTATGGTGGTGATTATGGTGGAAATTGCAAGGCGCCATGCATGGAAGCAGAATAGGACCCAATGTGTTTGCGTTTGGGAAGACAAAGAAACACTTTGATGGATTTGGAGGTGGCGAAAGGGGAACAAACACCATCCCAAAAGGGGTTTTCAGCGATCCCTCCACGATATGATATCCCATGTTTTGTTGTTATGTAAAACAACACATGCATCAATAGTAGCTGTAGGCGCAGCAGGCATTGGGCTAAAAGCCACACCGGCCAACGGGAACAAAGGGGCGGCAAAGGGAAAGAGAGCATCCCGTGATGATCAAGTCTCTTCCGAGCTTTCGATTCAACCGGCCAGCCGGCAGAGCAATTAGCGGCCGCTAAAGTAAGGGGATGCAGCAAGTAGCAAATCACGGTTTTGCATTGCATGCATGACTTTTACCCTTCACAAGTTGGGCTGCCTGTCCGGGATGCCATCTCCCTACCTATAGCTAGTAGCTACCTAGTATTCTTCATCTTCTCTAACCTTTTTTCACTGGTGACTTAGTAGTGAAAATTAAGGGCCATTCATGAAACCTTTTAGAACTTTATTAACATGACTTACAAGTTATGAGAACTTGGAGAAAACAATCTATATCAAATGTAGTCAGAATTTCGTTTTAAAACTTAAAAACTTACCATTTTACGTTTCTAGGTCACGAAAATGCTTCTACACAAAATATCAGTTTTTATAACTTATATAATTAAAAACTACGCTTTAAAACTTAAAAACTTACGATTTTACGCTTTTAGATCACCAAAACGTTTCCACGTAGAAACTCGCTTTTGACTGCATTGTATATATCTTTTATTAAATCGCTGACTACTTTTTAATAGATTGGTAGACCGTTTACCTAAGTGGTCCACCTTTTCCATCAAGCCATCCATCTCTTACAGCAACCGGTCGACCTGATGAACCATTGCCAATGTCATTATCATATACAATTAGAGAGAGTTTATTTGTTATACAATTGTTTGATCTTCAACGTCCATAAATCTCATATCATCTTGATTTTATGGGATTTTATTACTTCTTTTTTACAAAAGATAATCAATTATATTGAAAGAACAGATAGAACATTAAATCTTGCATTTTAACTAGGCCAAAAAAATTAAAAAAACGATATGGAATCCGGTACAAAGCTAGGGCCTTTCTAGCCACTAAATGAGCTACCTTATTTCTACTCCGACCTACAAATCGTACACAAAAACCCTAGTGATCAGACATCATACAACTTCCTCCAGTACGCCCCCATCGTGCTATCGCGAGTATTCGCCTGATTAATTTTGTCAATAATGACCTTGGCATCCCCTTCAAACCTGGCATCCGCAAAGCCACTCTCCAGACACCAAAGGATCGCGGCCCAAAGAACCAGGAGCTCGACCGTCATTGGATCGTCAATATTAGCAACATGAATTCCTTGTGCCCAGAGTGGCATGCCCCCAGGGTTCTTAACAACAAAGCCCCCTGCCGAATGAGACCCACAACGGGTTTCTCCATCCCACATACAAATCAAATAGTGAAGACCACCACTACCAGCCTGAGTCCCCTAATCAACCAAGGGCATGGGCACACTATCAACTGGTAGGCAGATCCATTCCTGATACTGCTGGTGAAATTGGTGCATCAAGGCGGGGATTCCAAATTGCTTACCCTCAAATACAACCCAGTTACGAGACTTCCAAATTAACCAAAGGATGGCCGCTACTGCCATGAAAAAGGGCAGATCATGAATGAGACACATAACTCTTTTCAGAAAAAGGGGAAATGTGTGTCGAGGAAGCCCTTGCCCAAGATACTCGAGGCCCGAGTGGTTCCAAAGAGCCCTTGCCACAGGACAATCAAGAAACAAATGCTCAATTGTCTCTGTCTGGACCCAACAAACCGGGTACTTGGGCAACACCAAGATATCCTTCTCAATAAGGGCTTACGGGGTAGGGAGGATACAGTTGAAAATTTGCCAGAGGAACACTTTTAATTTAGGCAGGATATTAGTTTCCCACAAACGAATCCAACTAGGATTATCCATCCAACTAGCCACTGACTGCCATCTCCCTCGCTGCCTATCCAGAAGCACAGCTAGATGATAAGCGGATTTGACAGAAAAAATTTCATCTCTGGTCTCATGCCATATTAATCTATCCTCAATATCCTGGCGTGGAAGAGGGATTTTTCTGATGGCATTGGCAAGGAATTTTTTTTTCTATGACTATAATCTATGGAAAGATTTGGTTATGCACGAGGATAGTATACTGCATTACTACAAAACCTGTAACACCCTACCCTATACGTTTTGTCTAATCATATTGTTCATACAATTGCAGCGGAATTAATCTCGGGTGTTACATTAATTATCAAAATTTACCTAAATAAAATTTCGACATGAATTACTCGCGTAATGGGCTAACAGTTCTTGCAACTTATCCTGCAAAATAATTCATCTGATTCCATGCATTCAATGAAAAACCTATATACTAACAACCATATACATGGACTTTCATAGCCATAGTCACAGTTCATACTACACAACTGCATACCAAACTTATACATACCATAATCGTCACAACTTACACAGTTACACAACATATACACATATCATCAATTTTCCACACCTGTGGATATCTCACCCTACATCAGAAGCTAGTATGCACATGAAAAACGTTCACAAAACATTTTTACAAAAAGGTGTGAATCACTGGCCAAAATCCCGAGTAGTAGTCCAAGCACAGAATAGTTGAAGACCATACCTCATCTTGCCTTCAACTCTTGCTCAGCTCCCACCTATACACCTATCTACTGCTGCTGCTGATGATCTGCTTACACATGGCATAAGCAGAGAAAAAGGATAAAGAGGGTCAGCTCATAGCTGAGTGAGACAATCATTGCATCGTGAGTTCATAACAAAGCATACCCCTACCATACATCTAGCAATCAAGCCAAAACACTAAGATCAGACCTCAGCCATCCGACATCCCAATAGGCAAAAGACTCAACCACCTTGACTTATGCATATGCATCTTATCATGTTTTACTTATAGGCGCCTGGCTACTCCCATGCTAATAACTCTCCCGGGAAACATACCCCACATCCCGTCGGATGTAGTCATACATACCCCAACATCCCGTCGGATGTGGTCATACATACCCCACACCACTATGGGTGTAGTCATACCCCCACACCACTTTGGGTGTGGTCATATCTCATAAGAATTCTTCAGTCACCACCACATGAGAGGTGTGACTATCATACATATCATAGTAGAGTAATAGCATAGGGAGCCCTAATTACTATGTAGTTGACCGTGAGACCACCACACTCATTATTGGTATCCTTATACATGATTCATATCTCATCTTGCTTAATCATAATTCATTACTTGCACATGTACTTGACCTGGCCACAATTGGCTCAACATAGGTAAATCAGGAGTCGTATAATTGCATTTCCTCGGGATAAACCCTCGTGCAAGTCATCCTCCTTAAACATCATAATATCACCAGGTAATATATATTTACCCACTTGTGAATCTAAATACAACCACAATATCACATCATGTCAAAACACCTTATCGAACAACCATGAAGTCATATCAACGGTTAAGCCACAAATGGCAACATGTATGCAATCATCAACATAAACAAGGTCCATATTGGTTAGGGCAAGTCAATAATATCATACAACAGTCCAGGGTTCATCATATAGCACAAAAGTCCATACACCCCTAATCATGCCATTCTAGTTCACCTAGGTCAATTCTAAGCATCAAAATAATTATCGTGATACGACAAACCCGGTATGCCGTGCTAATCTCTCACCAGTTCTGGTCGTTCAAACACCGGTTTAAGCTTCCCGTACTAAAACGTCAATTTCACGAACGAACCTCGAATTAAAATTCGAGACCGTCCTAATATCCCGTGCAGTATCCCCGTCAATATTAGTTCTAGGCTCTGAGTCAAATTCTTGATAAAAACACATCAAACCTGGCCGGAGCTAAATTCAGCGATTTGGACCCCGACCTAAATAATTTCCGAAATTCAAGGATTAGAACTAGATGATTGATTACCTCGCTGCAGGAAGCTCGTATATGAAATTTGGGCTTAATCCGACTTCTGGACCTTCCGAAACCCTAATTTCTTCGATCGGAAACTCAAGAAATTCTTATCCAAAACTTTGATATAACCTCGGAGATGGAAGGACTAGGCTAGATAGAGCTGATTATGGGATTTTTGTGTAACAAAAACCCTAGAAATTAGCTTCCCAAAATCTCCCGAAACTCTCTACGTGCTCTGCTTCTCTCCGTTCCTTTGTGGGTTACAGTCTACTTACAGAAATGGGAAAGTGACTGGGAAGAATGGATAAATATATGGGTACATCCTTTATCCCAACCGCTTCTCTTTCGCTTTAAATTCATTTTCTTTATTTTTATATTTCTCTTTTAACATACACATGACAACACACCACACACGTTACACATATTATATAAATAATTAATAATAATAGTTATCCTTATGTATATATAGAATAATCGATGTTTATTTGATTAATCGATATTTCGATTTTCGTCGAAATACTATCAAAATACTCAACTTAAAACGCATATTTTCTAATGATCGGAATATGGGTTTTTCCGAAACGGGATGTTACAAAACCAATTTAGTATTGTTGGCTTCCTATTGTCCAAACGCGAAAAGTGATCCAAATGAAACCCTGTAAAAAACAATAAATGTTCAAGAATTCAGACTAAACATTAGACCAAAATTATAGGAAAAAGCTAATGAATCAAAACCTATTCGTATCATTTTGCAAAACCTCATCACATTCAAAACCTATACAAAAACTTTTAGTCACAAGTTACAACATAGTACAATCATTCAATTCCCAAGGAGAAATTTCACCTTTGTGATGGTAAAAAAATTATTGGAGGGGGTTGTTTTCACTTTTCAGCAATATTCTATCCATTTACCTAGAAAGTTTTGCAAGTTCAAAACTCAAAATGTAGTTTGACCGGGGAGAGGACTATTTTATAACAAACCTAGTAAAGTAACCAACCAACTTTCGTAGGTGGAAGGGGAAAAACCCCTCGCTTTGATCCAAGAAAATATCGAAATAGGCGGTAAAAAAACCCTTGACCTTTGACTTATGGAAGAGAGTTGTTCACTTGTTCTCTGCTATATAATAATACTCAGAACAGACTCCTAGTTACCCGCTACTACCACCACTCCTGCAAGAGTCCTGCAACGAACAACAAGGACGCACCCTCTGCTTTCTTCTGCAAAAGAAACAAGGTCGAGGCTTTGGAATTCAGAAATGGAGTTAGCATTTCACAAGGCACAGCTCAACAGCCTTGTGCAGTCCATGTTTGATGCGGTATTACTCTCCGCTATCTCTTTCCCCCATTTTGATCTTTCCGTAGGCTCCTCCAAAGGGTTTTGTGGGTTACGTCTCCCTTCATTATGGTGTTTGATGTGTTGTGTTCTTCGGTTTTTGGGGTTGAAAGGGAATTTTGGACAGCCAATTCTCACAGATTCAGGCTCTGCAAGACGACGAGAATCCTGCATTCATAGCTGAAGTAATCTCCTCTTTCTGTCATGATGCCGAGAGGATCATCATCGAGCTTAACAAGCACCTGTATGCTTCTGATCAGTTACTTTTTGCTGTTTGGTCATTGGAAATTCTCTAATATTATGATACTTCCCCTTACAGGAGCCATCAAAATGTGGACTTCTCCAAAATGGATGGTTGTCTTCACCAACTCAAAGGAAGCAGCTCCAGGTGGGGTCCTAACTTCAACCATTCCTTTGTTTGTTATAAGAAAATGGAACTCTGACTCTGGTTTTTCCTCTACTTCTTTCGTATTGATCAAAAGCATTGGCGCAAATCGAATGAAGCTTGCTTGCTGCGACCTTCGTGAGGCTTCTGATGAAAAGAACAAGAGCAGGTAAATTTCTCCACCTTCACAAGGTCGGCATGGCAGGACCTCACAATTCTCATTCCACTCTTTTCGTTTGTTTGCTTTGTGTTCCAGGAGCCTGCAGGCATTGAACATTGTCACTCGAGAATATTGCCGCCTCAGGGGTCAATTCCAAACCTTTCTCCAGGTAAAGCAAATTGAATTTCAACACAATCCTTGAATTCTTTGAACTTATTTATCTTCTTCATTTCCACAGTTAGAGAGGAGGATCCTGATGATCGAAGCAAGCCAGAAATAGAGAGGTAGTTGGAGAACTCAGGATCGCTTATCAAGTTTCTATGTACTTCTTAGTTTCCTGTGTTTTCATTAGCTTTTCTTACCAGAAGTAAAACCTCTGTTAGCTTGTAATGTATGTTCTCAAGGAAACTAGTCTAGCATTTCTTATTCTCATTCCCTCATAGTAGTAACATGTCAAATTACAGCCCCAAAAAGCCACAGTGCTCTTAAGAAACAAGTAGAGATTAACATGAAAAACACATCAGATGAGATATTCTGAAACAAGGACTAACCAAAATTACAAAAACTTGACTACCCACGTCACCATGACAGATTTGCTAAGATGCCTGCTCAAGTTGCAGGGGATGGTAAACCCGTTAGCTCAGTTCTAGGGGAAGGGAAACCTCCGCCTATCCTATAGCGAGATGGAGTTGGTAAGCTTCTAGGAGATAGATGAACAAACTCCAGGGCCTGTGATCTGACTTGAACAGGGTAATCAGCTATACAGCCAATTCTCGGGCCAGCTCCTGTGGACCATTTGAGCGAGACCTGATGGCCTAGTTGGTATGATTTAGCAGCTTTCTTGGAGTTGATCCTCTCGAGAATTGCTGTCTTTGGGACATCTGCTCTTGGGCTCTGGAGTCCACCAGATAAAGTCCTTTTGTACTCACTCCTGGTTTCAGTCAGCTTGAGTTCCGAGAGTTGTTGTTCTTCTGTTGTCGTGGAAGAACAGTCTTCAGTTGTTGGAATTTCAGGAATGGGGAACTCGGGATTCTTGGGGATGTCTATTGTTAAACTGCTAGGGTCAAACTTGGTGTCATCATAGATATCAGAATCTTCATTGGCCTTGTTTATCTGAGAGATAGAATCACCCCACATTGTGATAACTTTGTAAGAGCTTTTTCGATAGAATGGCTAGCCGGAATCAGATAACAAGAATAAAAATTACCTGGACGTTTTCCAAGCTGACACCATTATCCTTCAGATAGGATATGAAGGTCTCGAAATTATCTTCTGTTGGCCGGTAATGTCCACTGTAAGGAGAGATTGTCTGCGATAAAAAAAAATTCAGTATATAATGCAAGGAAGCTTAGCTGCCTGTTTCAAAAGTTATTTCAAGAAAAAGTGTCAGGGGTTAGCTAAAAGGGTTTTGTTTCTTGTTCTGATATTAGACCATAACTCTACTGATAAAGCTCTTGAGAGCCATACCTTAAGAACTCCCTGCTCTGCAACCAGCCTTCCTGCAGCTAATGTAACACCACCAGCTAGGAAGCTTGAGTGATGGAATATACCTTTCTTTTTCTGAAAATTAAGTACCATCATAGTTTAACGCTTGTTCCATAAGATGTGTAAGCACAATCAGACTAAATATTAACATTTCTTAAGCTAGAATGCTTACTTCACCAGCATACAGTCTCTTAAACGTGCTCATGACAAATATCCACTTGGCTCCTATCGTTGTGTCGATGAGTTCACCAGTTAGCTTGCGGGTGAGTTTGCCATCAACAAATATGTACTCATAATGCTCTCGCTCTTGCTGATGATCAACTTCAATGTGTTAGTACTCAATACCACATATCCAAAATGGAACCAGAAACATTCAGCAAAGAGACAAAAACACATTCATGTTGAAGTCTCATACCGGGCCAAGGTACTTGATGCACTGTTGCCGTAGCTTAGACCTTGGACATTCCTTCAGTTCTAGCTCTTTACCATCTCCAATGTCCAACCTGCATAAGGGAAGTTGATGAAATTGACTTAAGGATCCATTCTTGGACTTTTCCTTGTACCAAAATTCAATTTTTTCAGCTGGTTAGTGGAACTAAAAGACAAAAAGCCTTATTGGAAGCTTAGTTGGTTTATCTTGTTGGCTAGTGGTGTGAAAGACTTTGAATCTATAATTTATGGAACTATACAGAAGCTGCCACAGCCACGCCAAAATTAATTAAAAAGATACAGCCAGGATCAGTTAAAGAACCCCTCTCAACCACTATAGCTAAGGGCTAACATATCAGAAAAATCATATTCATGTTGTTGACTTGTCGAAAGTTGTTCCATTATTTGTAGAATCTCAACAGGGAAATGGTTTCTCACCAGAAAAAGAATGGCTGACCAGAATCAGCTTTGCACCACTCTTCATAATAAACGTGCAAGCTGTGCCCATATCTATGCCTTGGATCAATCTAGAAAAGCCAACCAAAAGCATCATCAGGACACTGTAAGAAGTACATAGATTTCAAATAATGGAAGAAGGGGCAATGTCAATTACAGCTTCAATCCAATGCTGGAAGGCCAGCTTTTGTGCTTTTGCGTCTTTAGATAATCCCTTACCCACCTGCCGAAAAGAGGGGGAAAGAACCAATTTAACACCATTCATTCATTCATCTTGACAAATTACAATCAGCAATCATTCTCTGCAATGGCTGAAGGAGATCCCATGGCGGACTTTTGCCTTTGAGAAGACAATATGGCCAAGTCAAACAGACATTCACCATTACCTTGGAGGCATTCAAGCTAACCCGATTCCACCTGGAAGCCGCAGTTTCTGGCTTGGAGAAATTGAAAAAGGAAACCGTGCTGTGGTTCAATCTCGCATAATCAATCGCTTGCCACCTAGGGAAAATTTTCCACCGCAACCGAATCCATAAACGATTAAGCTCCCAAAACACCCCCGAAAAACAGGCCATAAGATTCAGTAATTTGTTCACGGTTTTCCTTACCAGAGCTCTTCGGCGACCACCGCGGAGTCAGCAAGCCGCCGTCTTGTCCTGTAACTCCGGTACACCTTCTGCAGCTTCACCGCGGCGGTGTCGATTCCCTTGCCCCGCGGCGATTTCTCTTCTCCGTCGACGAAGACCTCCGAGTCCGCCATCGGCTTATCGAATCCCGGACACTTGTGGTCTGCGGTCTCCGGCGTATCTGGACCGTCGAAGTTAGGGCTTTCCGGGGGATGCGCATCAGGCGAATGAGGAGGGGAAGGGGGAGGTTGGAATCCAACGGAGACGTCGAGCTTATCGAGAGGATAGGAGAAAAGAGAGAGAGTCTGGGTCTGCATCGTTGCCGCGAAAATCGGACGGCGGGAGATTTCTGGGGGTCCCTCTTTTATATGTGTTGTGTAGGTTCAATCAAGCGGGAGAAATGAGGAGCGAAAAGCGGAAGGTTAAACAGGTGACCAGAGTCGCCGTGAGTCACGAGTTACCGAGTCCCAGAAAGGAAGGAGGGAGGAGAACCAGCCAGAGATCGGACGACGGGACGGGAGGGTAGAAGGTGGAGGAGACAGAGAGAGACTTTATAGCGGTTTTGGTTTTCCCGGGAAATCCAACTAATTATTAGTTTTATTATTATGGATTATTTGTTTAATCGTTTCATTTTCCGACGCTCGGCTTGTCCGAAACAGGAGCTAGGGCGTTACACGCGCCGGTGCGTGGGTGGTGGTATTATTTGTTTTGTGGTGGTTACAGATAATTTCATTTTACCTCTTATTTTGTCGATGCAAATTATTTTTTTCCATAATTTACAAATCAAAATCATGACATTTTAATAGAGGCATGATTAAATTATCAGTAATTATATGATGATTTGTAATGTTATTGATTGACATATATTTTTTCATTTTTAATTGTGTGTTTTGCTAAAATGCGAGTGTAAGACATAATAGCTAACAATGTAACATACATCACATATGTTTCATTCTCTCGTAGAAATTTTTTAAAGTCGATTAAAATGTGCAAAGCTCACATACATCTTTCAACTTTTTTTTTTTTTTGCGACTATCATCTTTCGAACTTGTCTTAATTACTAATCGACTAAACTAGTAAGATGTTGAGTCGATCACTTCCCTGCCAAAAAAAATAAATTGAACATGGTTGGATAAGTTGTACGAATAGTTAAGAGTCTAAACTCTAAACCAACCAGACATTATTATTATTATCTAGTTTTTATGGCTGATGTTGTTTGTATGATATGAAACCTCAACCCTTTTGTATATCTTTGTTCATGAACGTTACGGGGCATGCAGCTAGCAAATTTAAACCATACATCCTTAATCATTAAGTTCCTCACTTAATTAATTGATCACGTAGCAATTAAATATATATATATGTAGAGCCGTACGTTTACATCAGCGAGCGAGCTAATTAAGTGGCTAATCAATGAGTAAGATGGATGGATGAGACGTTTCGCGGTTGAATGATTAGAAGGGAGATGAGTGGTGATTAGCGACTTAATTAATCGTCGATTCCTTTTTCCCTTTTATCCAGACTTCCATCGGCTTGAAACTGAAGACGACAGTTAACTAATAGCCGATCGAAAACATAGAGTTAGAATCGAACTTTGGATCATGTGGGAAAAAGATGGAATATCTAACGTGGGAGAGAATGCATGCATATATATGATATGCTACTGCTAGCTAACATGGATCGCTCCTAGCTCATGCATGTAACCAGAACATAATTAAGACGTGCGGTGACTGCGTGGCTTGTGTACGCACCTGTGTCTGGAAAGTGAACATAGGATAGGATGATCAGTGGATAAAGGAAGAAAACGATTCTTGCTGTCCTAAAAACCTCATATTTTATGCACATTAGCGCTTTTGTGCATATGGGTTTATCAGCTTTAATGCCATATATAATAACCAAAATATATATGAGCAGAAAGCTTGTAGGTAACGTTGATTTGATTAATCAAGGGGTTAAAAATTAAGGCGATCAATAGACTATACATAAGAATATGAAGATACAATAAAGCTATAAATAAAATGATAATCAAGAACAAGATATATGCTTCGTTCACAAATTAACGAGCGTACACTAGAATTTTTTTGCCGGGAAGTTCTCATCGCCAAGCTAGACTATCATCATTTTATATGAACACCACACGAAGGATTCGGTGGGTGGGTGGTTGAAAACAAATTAACATGCATATATTACACAGCTTCAAAGTAATCAATATGAGTAATATTTCAAAGTGCAATTTAAATACATTTGACTAGCTGGCTGGCTGGCTGGCTAGCTTGTTCCCATTTAATTTGTACCGCGCCCTCCAGTCTAAAGCGTTTACGTCTTTCGTTTTTAGCGTTTACTTGTTTCGTGTTTTTTTTTTTTTTTGTAAAAGGGAAGTTGAAATAATGAAGACAATTCTTACCAAGTCTATATATTTGGCGACGCATGCGTTAGAAAATTCAATCGAACTGGACGTAGTAATCGTTTAGCATGCGCCTGCGTCGATGGTTCCTTTCTTTCCTCTCGATCCTAGCTGCTGGCTGGCTGGCTACGCATGAGAACCTTCGTTGTTAGTTCTGCAATGGACAGTGGCCAAGTCCTTTTGGAGTGAGTGTGAATTAATTAATTAATTCATTATATAAAATTTAATTTCTTAGCTCTAATCATAACAATTCCACCAAATTACAAGGCCGTACAGCGAGGTTACGCTCAAGTGGGAAGTTGGACTTAAGTTAAACTACCCATGCATATGCGTATTAATTAATACTAATCCTTCCTGGGTTTTCCTTTTCTATCATCGCTAGCTAGCTGTATCTCAATCCCTTCCCATCCCAACTTGTACGTACTTAATTAACTTGGGTACTTTAAATTTTGTCTCCTGTCCTGTCCTATCCTATCATTAACTAATCCCTTTCCATTCCATTAATATATACCAGTGGATCCGCCCAGGAATAATTAACAACATAAAGAAAGAACAAAGGGGAAGAAAATCATCTCACTACATGGACAGTGGAGGACAAAAAGAAAGAAGGAAAGTAGCAGTTGGGTGGAAATTAAAGAATTACAAATATGACAAAAGAGCGAGGGTGCCAGCTGTCTGGGGAAGGAAAGGGGAAAAGATATGATCAGTCCATGCCCTGACACTCAGTACAGTAAACGTTTTTGACGCTTGACTCGATCTCTCACCCACCACACGTTACACTCACCCACACATGATGTACTACTATATATAGCTAACCAGACTCTTCATTTGGATCACTTCACTTCTCTTTTCGGTCTAAATTAAACATTTGTTTCGTTTTTTTATGTGAATCGCTTTTATAATATTAGGTTTGAGCCTTGAGAAGTGAGTGTTAGTTACAGTGTTGGATAGTGATCGAATGACTTGAAGCGCATGTGAAGTTGTCGACATGTCAAGAGAAATTGTTAGTTAAGTTACGTTGTTGGGTAGCGATCGAATGACCCAACATACATGTGAAGTACTTACATAGATTGTGGAGTCATCGCATCTCATGTTTGATAGTATTAGTGATGATGTCTTGTTGATCATGAACGTAACAAAATGAATTATAATATTGAGAAACTCATTTTGTGTTGCCTTCTTATCAACATTAATAGATGCAGTCGTAACTTGAATCATTAGTTTTTTTTATCCTTGACGTATCTTGATGCATGCACTTATTCGATGCACAGTGGCGGACCCAGAATTACAGGAGAGGTGTGTCGCCGATAAAATAAAGTAATAATTAAAAAAATTAATTAAAAATTATTAAAAAATTAATAGAAATTACTAGAAATTAATTCATAAAGTTCACAATGTCATGTTTACTAGAAATGTCTGTAAATACATTCATTGCTTATGTTGCGAAGCAAATCCTTTTCGATATACACAACTAAACAATAATTCATTAAATTCGTCACTCAACCGATTTCGAAGTTCATTCTTGATTATCTTCATAGCTGAAATCTTTCGCAGCTTTCAATTGCAACAGGTAAAGTCAACACCAACTTCCAAAAGCAAGTAAAACTAAAGGATAAAAGAAAAGGGAGATGTGGTAGTGGCTCTCGGTAATTAGAAACTAAAACGGGGTAAGGGTGAGTTTTTTATTTTCAATAAAGGAAGGGTCAAGGGGTGGAAACAGTGAGTTTCAAAGGATGGGGTTATGTTTATTTTTTCCATTGTTGGGTTGTGGTAGGGATGACAACCAAACCCATGGTCGCGGGTACCCGACCTCCTCCGACCCAGTCAATACGGGAATCCCTGCATTGACGGGGTATGGGCCGAGTATGGATAAAACCCCCCCAAAAAGGTTGATGGGTATGGGGCGGGTATGGTTTTTAACTCTCCAGCCCCATACCCATACCCAAACCCGCCCTACCAAGGATATTATGTTATATACACAAAATATAAGGAGTGTATGGTAACTTGTCAATCGAATGAAGAGTAATTAAAAGAAAAAATAAAATGTTAAAATGTAATTGATGGCAACCAAACCTTAATTTCATCCTCTTATGTATTAGTTCCATAATTTTGGGTGGGTAGTATCCGTATTTGTCACCATATTCTATTATTAATGGTGAGTAGTTGTTGGGGCGGTATTACCCATGGGTATCAGAAAACCACATGTATGGGGATGAGTTTGTAAGACCTTTCACTGCATGGGTATGAGACGGGTATGAGTTTGAATATTTGGAAATGGGGATGAGGTTGGTTTAGGCAAACCCGCTCTATTGTCATCTCTAGGTTGTGGTGTTGGTTACTCTAAAACAAGCATACTTATTTGAATTTACTTATTATTGTGTATTACTCATTAAGATAAATAACTTTATAACAAGAAAATCATTCTCGTATAATGAAGGTGTGTCGCTCACAATTATTTAAGGTGTGTCGGAAGTCCCGAATTAAAAAAATTTGTACAAAAAATATATAGGTACTTCACAAAATTTTCGGGCGAGGGTGTGTCGGACGACACACCCTGCCCTTTACTAGGTCCGCCACTATCGATGCATATGACCCAGAAAATCCTAGAATATGATTGATATATCAACTATCAAGTAATTAGGAAATTAAACTTGAAATTCCATTTATTATTTTAACACCCCAAATTCTATTGCGACTTTAGGATTGATGAATGGAGATTAGGTTTTCCAAATAATTTTTGCCTTGCACTTCGTTTTCTATCAATATTGAATGACCTCCTAGCTCCTAGTCCTACCTACCACGCACATGGAAGGACCAAATAATGAATCATCCACCTCCTTTATTGGTGGGTTCCCAAATTGGGTCATTTTCAGCACGTCAAGACAAGACTATCACCATTCATCGTAGTTAATGCATGGATAATTGGCCACATATTAAGTCATGCCAACTCCATCCTTTGTGATCATGAAATAGTAGAAACTGTGTTGCAATTTTTTGAAGTTTGCATGATTGCCACGCACCTTGCCGTAATAAGAAGAAAACTGGATCACGTTGGCCCCTAACCCTAACTATAGTGATGGAAATTTAAACCCTAATTATTGTATTACTCGATTTGACTTTTGATAGAGTGGGTATTACCTGATTCATAGTAGCGTGGGGTGAGACATGAGTATCTACTTTGGACCCGCATTGCCCCGCTCTTGGCCCATTTTGTTTCATTTTCTTACAATATTTATACACATTTATCATATTTTGACTTTTATACAACTAGTTATAGTCGATCTTTCAACTTGTTAGACTCAAATACTTAATTCTATTATCACTATTTTTCATTCATAAAGTGTTTCCCCTTCGTTTTATCGTAAAAGTAAAATTTGTGTGTATATTTTGTCAAATAACATGTATGAGTGGGTCAACCATCTCGCGCCGTACCCACGCGGATTTTACCCGCCCCGCCCTGCAGTAATGTGGGGCGGGACATGGATATTGAGATACCTGTCCCGCCCGCCCATTGCCATCACTACCTAACAATCATAGTCCCTAAGCTTAGTAAGCATGTTAGTCATAGTAATAAGCAGTGACACAATAATCTACTTCCTTTTTACTTGGCTAACATGCACTATGTTCAGAATCTAACTCGATGATGTCGTATTGGCTCATATGAATCATAACCAATCAATTTACCGTCGATAACAATCATTCTAAAACTTAATGATCATCCCAAGATCATGAGTCAATACATGCGGACCATTTTGAATCACGATTGCTTTTATGGATTTGGGTAGGTAAATGGAGGTAACTAAAGGATACGAAATGAGTAAGTGACAATCCGATTGATCATGCAATTGAAGAAGGGAACATCTATAGCCTATAGCCCGGCCCTTACATAGTACATATGGTCCTCCAATCCAATTTATTGGTGCCAGCCACCAAACAACCAACTACCACTTTTGTGCACAAATTAACATACAACTTGGGCTGCGTGCAAAAGGCCCAGTTGCAATTCTAGCGCTCCTATCCATATGGGCCTGTAAAGGCCCAACATAGAATTTCGGCTAAAGAGTCCGGTCCAGTAGAGGAAAAGGAATAATTTTCCTTTTTCCTTTCGGCCGATAGGAAAAGGAGTAAAGAAACCCTATTCACTCCTCCCTCCATTATATATACCGAGTTGCCGCCAGTATGTTTCTCACGTTCTCGCTTTGTAGGGTTTTTTCTTGCGACGGCACGCGGAAATTGAGGAAAATCGATCGGCATTGCATTGTGCGAAGATGAAGGTGATCGCTGCCTACCTGCTCGCCGTCCTCGGTGGAAACAATGCTCCTTCCGCCGCCGATGTCAAGAAGATTCTCGGCTGCGGTAATCCCCTCCTTTTGCCTCTCTCTTTCGCTCTCGATTTCCTGTTCGCCGATCGTTTGTTTTTAGAATCTCTTGAGTAGGTTGGTTGGAGATCTGTATGAATGCTGAGGGCTTAGATCTTTTGAGGTTCCCTCCGATGGTTGCCGTTACTTAGATCTTGAATCCCTAGAGCAGGAAAAACTCTCTTACGCTTCTACGTAATCTTGTAATTATGTTTCTGCTCTGCCCTAGTTAGATCTTGAATCCTCTCCCCGTTTGGATCGTTTCTTTGATTCCTGATTAGGGGTCTGGTTGATTTTGTTTGCCGACTATGGATCACAGATTTTGATTTGTTTTAAGATTCTTTCCACTGCACTTAATCGTCTGTGACTGTGTATTGACATTATTTTATGCTCGATTTTATCAAAAAGACGAAATTGGTTGCTTACATTGTTGAGAAAATCTATCGCCGTTTGTTTTTGTTCAGTTGGGGCAGATGCTGAGGACGACCGTATTGAGCTTCTTCTCTCTGGGGTCAAGGGGAAGGATGTTTCGGAGCTGATTGCTGCTGGCATGGAGAAGCTGGCTACCGTGCCTAGTGGTGGAGGCGGTGGTGCTGTGGCCGCTGCTGCTCCTGCTGGTGATGCTGCCCCTGAGCCCGCTGCTCCGGCAAAGAAGGAGGAGAAGGTGGAAGAGAATGAGGAGTCGGATGGGGTGAGTTCCCTTTCACTGTCTCGTTATTATGCTTTAGCATTGTCAAGTCTGCAATGTTGTTGGTTGGTTTATTGACAATGCACGTAATGATTTGATTCATAGGTTAATTGGGTAAATCCTTCCTCTTAGGTGGTCTTAAGCTTATTAGAGTGAATTCCTTATTCATGGTATTCGATCCTGATAAGGTGGATGGATATAGAGTTAGGAATTGTGAAGGCTTTTTAACTTGTACCTGAACATGAGCACTTTTGCCTCTGTAGAGAATCGGGTTTTCTTGCTGCTTCATGTATTTTCTTCGTCAAAAGATCTTTTTATATGTCAAATTCACTCTGTTCTGTGCTGCCTTCCCACTTTGTTACTGATCCCTTTTCCTTTCTTTCTGCAGGAGGGGATGTTCGGCCTCTTCGACTAAAGAGTGGTTCCTATGGGGTGGACAACATCTTCAGCTCGCTTTTGGAAATATGGGAGCTGTTAGCGTTAGGGTTTCCTTTTGTTTTTAGAACACAAATCTTTTCTTCGTCTTTTCAGTGTTTGGTTTAGTTGAGAGCCTTTCCTCGGAACAAAGGGTGAATGTTGAATGGAACAATGTTTCTTTTGTTGGCGTTGTTCAGTCAAGTGTTTGTTTTATCATTCCTTTGTTAGCTGTGATAAAATTGTGTGTTTAAGATGCTTGGTCACGTACAGGTTGGCTGAAAGGGTCCGTTGAGACTTGCTGAGCCAAAGCCCGAATGAATTTGGTTTGACACCAAGACGGACCCTGCTAATGGTTAGGCCTGTGTCACAATTCAATAGATTCTCGGTTTTCCTTGTGCATTGTATTTAAGACAAAAAAACCAACAAATTCTTCGAATTATGTTTATTATATTAATACATCATTTTGAATTCGGATTAATTACATAGTTGGTCACCGGGTTTATTAAAAATGTTCATGTTTGGTCACTAAAAATATTTAATTCCATTCGTGGTCACTAAAATTACTTAAACATTTCAAATTTGGTCACTCTCCGTCGAGCTTCGTTAACTTTGTTTGATGTGGCAGTCAACTATTAGAGTTGATTTGTCTGATGTGGCAGTCAACTATTAGAGTTGATCGTTAAGTGTGTGACGTAGCAATTAAAAAATAAAAAAAATTAATCTTTTAAATTTCCACCTCGTTATCACAATTATTAAAAAAATAAAAAAATTAAACCTAATTTCTTCTAATCCCCATACCCTACCGACCAAACCCCCTGCCGTCGCAACTGCCGCCGCCTCCCCGCCATTATCGCAGAGGGATTGGCGACAGATGGATCGGCAGTTGGTGGTGGAGTTTATGTACGACTCCTTATCACCTCACGCACCACTATCTGCATCTACTTCATATCCCATAAATCGAACAGGTGACCCCATTCTCGACGTCTTTGGCAAATCAACACTGAAGGGCCCTTCAATTACATCAATTTCGGACAAAGAGGTGACCAAAGGAGTAGAAGGTGAAGGTGAGAAAAATACAATAAAAAGACAACCTGCCAGAATTTGGAAATTAAAATACGCTCCTTCCAATTCTCAGAGAACGAAGGATAATGTGATTGTCGTTCGGCCAGCGACATTGTATATCTATCGTCTCCACCTTGCGGCTTTGAATTGCCTGAAGCCATTTTTGGTGATGAACTTCTAGAATCGGCAGACTAAAATCCACTGCAATTGTTCTGAACTGAGCGACGACGGCACAAGGAGGAAGGCAAAGCTCGTATAGGAAAGACAATATCTTTGGGGTTGGGGGAGGGGTGTGGTGGTTACCGGGACCTAAAGGTTTGGGATGAGATTTGGGGGAGGGCATGGGTTTTTTATGTTGATGGGAATCTCATGGAAGGTGGCCGACAGGAGTTGGGATGAGATTTGGGGGAGGTTTTGGGTTGTCTTTGATTTTGGAAATTTCTATTGATGGAGATCTCTTGGGAGAGGTGGGGGGCGTGAGTGAAGCGGCAGATGGAGGGTTGAGGTTCAGCCGAGCATGGGGATTAGAAGAAAAGAAATTAGGTATTTTGTAATTTTTATTTTTTAATAGTTGGAATAATGAGTTGGAAATTTTAAAAATGAATTTTTATTAATTTTTAAATTGCCACGTGGCAAATTTAACTGTCAATTGTAAGAGTTGACTGCCACATAAGCAAAAGTTACGGAGAGTGACCAAACTTGAACTCTTTAACTAATTTTAGTGACCACGAATGGAATTAAATATTTCGAGTGATCAAACAAGAACGGTTTTTGTAATCTCAGTGACCAACCATGCAATTAACCCTTTGGAGTTCTAACTTCCAAACGATCTAAGGGATAATTTGGTTTTGGTGATACTTAAATCAATGCATTGTGGTCAATGTATGCATTGTAATATACATGCAATTTTGGAAAATGATATAATGTACTTTACATTATTTGATTTTGGTGATAGTTCTTTTAGTATTCAACATGTTATATATTTTTTGTGAGAAATATCACTTTTGCCCTTGCTTTTACGAGACTAATTTAGAGGGATAGTTTCCATCATATCAAGCAAACAATGCATGTATTGTTTGTGCAGAAATTAAAAAAAACAATGTATCGTGGACAATACATACATTGTAGCTATCCCAATCAAACGATCACCAAAACCAAACGACCCTAAGTTCATGACTTAATATTTTACTTGAATTCATTTCTTGAATTTGTAACCATCAATTCCACTTCGCATTAGTGTGATGTTTCAATTTCTTCCAATATTTGATATATGAGTTCATAATATGTATGCTGTATTAGTCCCTTCCTATTCTAATTTGTGGCTTCACCCCTATCCCAACATGTGCTTATATATGGTTGGCTATTTTTATATTCAATGAGTAAGTTAGAATACTTTGTCACATCTCACCCATTTATCATTTCGATCCCACAACCCGAATTACCAAATCAAGAGTAGCTAGCTAACAAAAACAACCTTACTTGTTAGTTCTTACACTCTCCCAAGATCAAACTACTGGGAAAAGTTGGATCCATGATGTACTCTTGAAAAGAGTCACGTTGCTCCCTAAATTGTACATTGAAATGTGCAACCATCCTTATCCGTACTACTGTCATCACAAGCGAAGCACTACTATTGTTGGTGCTATATACCATAATACAATGCTATTGGGTGCAATGAATGTAGACAGGCGTCCAGGTTCATTGAACCCATGCTGCGGAAAACCACAGACGACAAACCACTCCTACTTACGTGCGTATTAATGTAATGAAAGTAATGAGTAGGAATGGGTTAGGGTGATTACTTGTTTTTTAGTAATCACGGTGGCAACCTCTTTATATATCATTTGATTAATTATTTTCCCTTCTTTTTTAATCTTACGATCAAGATTCTTTTAGAGTAATTTTGGAAATTAAAAAGTGACCACACCCAGTGGCGTAGCCAGGAATTTTGCTAAGGTAGGTCCAACATAAAAAAATCATATTAATGTTGTATGATAATTCACGACGTGATTTCATATTTTAAAAAGTTTCCTTCACAAAAGGTTCATTATAGAAATTGCATCCTGTAAGTGGATAAGAGGACAATGATAATTGTGGGGGAAGTCGAAAGCATATTAGGTAGGGATGAAAATTTCGATATGAACTATTTTACTCAACTTGTTGGGGCAGGTAATGACTCGCCCCATTCTTGACTTGTTTTTGCCTAAATTACATATAATTTTATCCAAATTATTTAAGATTTGACTTTTATTATGCTATATTTTTGCTCTAATGAAGTTACAAATATGTGAGAACCTCAATTTATCGATTAACTTAACTACATTTATCATATTATAGTTTGTCTCTTGATTTTTTAATGGAATATATGAATATTTTTAATATTTTCCTTTTAAATTACATATTCATATGAGTCGACCTATCACACAATAAATAATCTGATATGTACCCGACCTAGCACGAGACGTGTATGAATATCGATTAGCCGCCTCGGACCGACCCCTATGAGGAGTTGGGATGAGGAAATAGAGGCAAATTAGATTGTATTTTCTTTTTTCTTTTTTTCGTTTTAACACTACACAATAAATATATTATATGTCAACACAAGCAATATGATTACTAAGGTGTAGCGGTGAAAACCCTTCTCATTGGCAGGTCCCTGTTTTTGAATGCCCCATATCCGCCATGCCTTTTTCGGTTTTTCCTGTGTTGGCCGGCTGTCCAAGGTGGTGCAGCCGACCCACCTTGGTATAGTGTGGCTCCGCCACTGACCACACCTGATTATTCTATATAATCTACCTAAACCCTAGTTCTATCCTCCCTCCAGCCAAACCCGTCGCAGCCGCCTCCACGTACCACTCTCGTCGCACCGCCGGCAACAGCCCCGACCACCCTCGGCCACCGCTGGCAACAGCCCCCGACCACCCTCGGTACTCTCTCTCTCTCTATATATCTCTCTAGGAAGACCTCTGATGTGATAGCTTCCGTCAATAACGCATTCTCCGGAGGGATCAAACCAGCTCGCCGGCGTGGTGGAAATCTCAGGACACAAGATCCGCAGCTCCCCACCACGGCGCTCCTCAATTCTACCCTTCCCCGACCTACGTTACCCTCTCTGTCTCTCGTTCGCTCTGAAAATCAATCTCTCTCTCTGCTCTCTTTCTTATGTGCAGTGGTATAGATTTAAAAACCTAGATCTAGTCATTTTTGTTTATTGATTCAATGTGCAGTGGTATATATTGTTTATATTGGTAGTTTTCGTGTAATTGTATAGATTTATTTCTGCAATGGTATTGATTGTTTATGGTATAGATTGTTTATATTGGTAGTTTTCGTGTAATGGTATAGATTTATTTCTACAATGGTATTGATTGTTTATGGTATAGATTGTTTATATTGGTAGTTTTCGTGTAATGGTATAGATTTATTTCTGCAATGGTAGTTTTCGTGTAATGGTATATATTTATTTCTGCAATGGTATTGATGTTTTTCAAAGTGGTAGTGTTTGTCTAATGGATTGGTACTGATTTCTTTTTTTTTTTTTTTGCAGAAAGATTGAGAAAAATATGAAAAGGAAATCTGGCTGGAGATTACGGAAGTGAGAGAAAGAGAGAATTTTAATTAATAGATTTTTGTAACTACCTAAAATGTAATTTATTAAAAAATTAATTAATATAATTTATTTTTCCATACCCAATTTACCCTTAGTAACCATGATGATTACTACAACCTGTCCCGTAATTAGTAATTACCTAAGCCCTTGGAGGCGTCCATGAGCCGTTTTGTCTCTTCCCCGCTGCGCCAATTTTTTTGCTTTCGAAAGCTTCCAACACTTGACGACGACACTGCAGGAAGTGTGTTTACTGTTTAGCGTAATTTAGTGATCGATTTTGTCTGCACGAGTATTTACTTCACCATGCAAAGTCTTGCGTGCATAGACTTATATAAGCACTTAAGCATAATTTAAATGAAGATACCATCCCATTCCCATGCACCCACGTCGGATTCACTCAATCGATCCGCACTTGAAAGGGATCCCATTTCGGATATTCCTTTGAATCTTTCACTCTATCGCATACACTAAATGATTAATTACCCTGCCCGATTGCTGAGTTTCAATACTTGAAATCATTCACTAAGACAACAGAGTACCGCAAACAGAACACGACATTATATCGTCTCTAGTAATCCTAAAATACAAGTTAATCAGTTAGAGTTATTGAATTATTAAACTCATTTAACAGTAGAATAATATAATCGTATATTTGTTTATTATGAACCAAAGACGAATTAAAAATTAAACCAAACAATGTAGTCACATACTTTTTACGTACCTCTGGTCAAACAATACAGTTTAGTGTAAAAAAGTCAATATATTATTCATGGATGCTGATGCAAGTACTCAAACAAAAGAGCTAAGTTACCATTAAATGATACAAAAGCCAAACAAAAAAAGTCCCCTAGCCACTAGCCAGGTTCAAATCTGAATTTGGACACAAATCACACCCAAATCCATCCCAAATCAAGCCCAAATTCATTACAAATGAAACCCCCCTCTCCTCTCCTCTCCTCTCCTTCTCCCCCGCCATGTCTATATAATATAAAAAAAGGTAAAAGACGGAGTATCTCTCTTCAACATTATATCGACATCTTCACCTCATTCATCTCTCTGCTGTACTTACCCGAATTAACTGCACACAGAAGACGACATTATATCGCCATTCTCTCCTCATCCCCCCGCCATAGCTTGCTTGGCGCCCAATCTTACCATATTCTCCCTCCCTCTCTGTTATTTATTGTAACCCTACCCTCCCTCCCCAAATCACTACTCAATCGACTTGATATCTGCACCATCAATTGAGCCCGAGATCGCCGCGGGGAGAAATGACTAGAAGATTCAATAGGCAGCTGGCTGCCGCTTTCGACGAAGCCGCTCTGGCCATTAAGGACAAGGGTCCCTGCGAGAGCAGCGGCAGCGAGCATTTCACACCCGACGATTCCTTCCCCGCCGCCGACCTCTCCGATCTCGTGAACTCCTTCTTCGAGGGAGACTACAACAGGAATCGCACCAAGAAGAGAGAGAAGGATTTTCAGGAATCGAATAGGGACGACGAGGAATTCGACGGCGGAAGAATGCGGACCGTGATTGATGAATTGGAGAAACTGCTGAAAGGAGACGATGAAGGCGGCCGGGAAGAGCGGGAGAGGATTCGCTACTTGACGGAACAGGCTCTGGCTACCGGAATTGGGGACAGATCTTCGGACGGATTCAAACGCCGTTTGATGACCCGTCTACGCGATGCCGGCTTGGAAGCTGGTACGTAACGTATATATACATCTCCTTTATTTTTCGTTTCGATTTGTTGGGAATTTTTCTGAATTGGGCTGGGCGGATTATAATCGAGCAGGACTCTGCAAATCGCGGTGGGAGAAAACAGGGACGCGCTGCGGAGGCCAGCACGATTACATCGACGTCAAGCTCGGCGACGGGAAACGCTACATCGTGGAGGTGTTTCTGGCGACGGAGTTTGAGCTGGCGCGGCCGAAGTTGGATTTCTCGGCCTTACTGCGGTCGATTCCCGACGTGTTCGTGGGGAGGCCGGAGGAGCTGAAGCAGGTAGTGCGGCTGATGTGCGGGGCGGTGAGGCGGTCGATGGAAGCGGCGGAGATGCGGGTGCCGCCGTGGAGAAGGACCCTTTTCATGGAAGCCAAGTGGTTCGGCCCCTACAGGCGGACGGTGAACAGGGCGCCGTCGAACAACGATCGGGAAGCTCGCCCGGCGAGACGGGCGGTCGGGTTCGGCCTGGTTGTTGATGGGCACGGCACGGCGGTGACCCGGGGTAAGGTCGGGTTGTTGAAGGTCAGCCATTTGACTGCTGCGCTTGCCGGGTGAGGCCCATGGGCTTGATGTCGATGGAAGGCCCATAGTTCTTCCACAAGGTGGAGTTTGCAGTTGTGGCAAAATGTTTACCGTCTGCCTATGAAAATTTGTATAAAAAAGTCTTTGATATTAGAAAATTGTAAAAAAATAATTTGGGTGCCTAAGGTGGGAAATTTTTTGTCGAATAGATTTGTTGGTTTCGGTTTCCCATTTCTTAAATCTAATGTATTCAATTCTTGTATTATTTAACAAGAGTTAAATGTATTCAATTCTAGTAACCATATAAAAAAAAATCTCGTAAGATAACATGATGGAAACATAACCCACATTCAAAGGGTTTGCTTGTTATTAACAAGCGAGAGAACGACGTAGAGTGTTGAAAGACTTTTAGTTTTATTATTCGATTGATAAATCGGACTAATATCGTAATTATAATATATAGATGACTCAACCTAATACGTCACCCTAGCTGACCCGAAACCCTACTAACTACTCAAGCTTACTCGGCAATACCCATAAGAAGAATCCTAATTGGACTACTAAGCCCATACACTACTACCCTACCAACTACGTAAACAGACTAACCCAAACTAATCTAAACAACCTTAACTAAACACGGGATGGGATACAGTCACTTCCTCTTAGAGGGTTGTGAGATTCACAACCAAGGGTAATTTGGGTATAACAAAAAATAAATTTATTAATTATTTTTTTGTATTAATTACATATTGGGAATTCAAAACTCATATTAAATACATGCTTTTTTTAAAAAACCCTACATTAATACACTTATATCTCTCTATCTCTCTCTACTTTTTCCAGCAACCTCTTCGCTCCGTCCGCCAAACTTACTCCGACCGACAAACTTTTTTCCGGTGACAACCTTCAATCAGACTCACTCCGCCCACCTGCAAAAAAGTACAACTTCGTGAATGCGCTAGTGGTAGTGATTTTCATCTAGCGTACAGTGGTACTGGTACGATACCAGTGAGTAGTGGTAGCGTACCAGTACCACTGATAACGTACCGGTACCACTGGTGCGTACCAGTACCACTGGTGCGTACCACTACCACTGGTAGCGTACCACTACCTCTTATAGGTACCAGTACCACTGGTAGCGTACAACTAAAGACTAACACAAAAAACCAGATCTGGAATCTGAAAAATCACAGATTTGAAAAAAATATTAGGAGATGAGGAAAGGGAAAGGCAGGGGAGAGGCGGTGACCTCGTGGCGGCTAGGGCTGCAAATGAGCCGAGCTACTCGCGAGCAACTCGAGGCTCGAATCTGGAAAAACTCGTTCGAAACTCGATTCGTTTACTAATGAGCCAAGCTTGAGCTTAGCTTTGTTAAGCTCGCGAGCTAGCTCGACTCGGTGGCTTGTTGAGCTGAACTCGTGAGTTGGCTCATTTAGAGCTCATGAGATGTCTCAACATTGTGGTTTGATGGCCAACTTGATCACCGACTTATGGACGAATCGATCTAATTTGGACTTTCATAATTCATAGGATTGTTAAATTATATATCTCACATCATGCGAATTTTAACATGTTGAACATGTAAGAAAATATGCCTTATTTTTAATTCTATAAAGAAATTATGTACAAAATTGTTTCGATACTATGAAATAACATAATTTGAACTAGTTAAAATTTATTAACTAAACAATATGACACCTACAAATTATAATATAAGATTAATTAATGTTGAACATTTGATTATTTATTTATCGTTACATCAATCACATGTACCATACACGACATACAAAATGAATGTATCAAATGTGATCTAAGAATTTAGTAAACAAGCTTAGCTCGAACTCGACTCGGCTCGTTAATAAATGGCTCGAGCTCGAGCTCAACTCATTTGTTAACGAGTCAAGCTCAAACTGGGGTAAAGCTCGGCTCAGCTCGGCTCATTTGCAGCCCTGGTGACGGCACCGTGAAGACGGGAGGTGGTGAGAGGCGGAGGAAGGGGGAGGTAGAGGCGATGCTGGTGTAAAGAAGGCGACAGGCGCGGCGAGGGCGGCAGGGACAACGTCGGCGTGAGGAGGACAGCGGAAGGAAAGCGGTCGCGACAACGATGATGGAGGTCTGCGTGGTGATTGAGGTCGACGATGATAGAGGTCGATGATGGAGCTCTTGACGACTAGGGTTTTTTGTTAGAGATATGTGAGAGGGGAAGAGGAGGGAGACGCAGGAAATTGGGGGAGGGTCTGATTTTGTTGTTGTTGTTGTTGTTGTTGTTGTTATTAATAATAAAGAGTATTTATATGGAAAATGGAAAGGATCTCATGTGGTAAGTTTTCCATTCCGAAATTGTCCTTGGTTTAATCTTAACTAGGGGTGGAAATCGGTACGATATCTGTATCCCAATACCAAATACCGAAATCCGGAATACCGAATTACACCCTAAAATCAATCCCAATCCCAATCCCTAAATATTTCGGTATCCCAATCGGTATTATGAAATATAAAATTAATTACTATTACAATTAATAATTAAATATATAAATTAAATTTGATTGTTTAATATAGGACAAAGAGACTAAGCAAAGAGTTTTGAGTTTGGTTAGAGCTATGATATAGATAAGGAGAATGGTGGAGAGGTGACATTTCAAGGTTTTGTCATTGGTAATCTTTAATTTGACGAATTGGAGATTGAGAGAAGACTAATACTAGTGTTTGCTTTTTGGTGTTATGAAAATAACAATAAATTGCTGGTTGAAGGTCGTGTAGTAGTGAATGAGAGAGTCTAGTTGAGTGGATAAAATACCCACTAACTTATATTTCAGTATTTCGGTATATATCGATCCCAATCCCGTAATCCCTAATACCGAATAACAATTGAATCCCAATCCCAATCCCAAAAAATAATACATGTATTCGATAATACCAAATATAGACAAATTCGGTATGGTATTAGGTATATCCCAAATACCGGTACCAAACTTCCAGCCATAATCTTAACCATTGATTTAAAAAAAGAAAAAAGAGACAGGAGAGAGAACTTATCCGATTACTACAAAGTTGGTTGTAAATCTCACAACCCCTTAAAGGGTTGTCACCGTATCTCATCCCTACACTAATCCATCCCACCAGCCCTCATATTCGTCGAGTAAGATCTCTCCCCATTCGGCCCAATATGTTCTCATCAATACCTTCCCCTCCAAAGAACCTTGTCCCCAAGATTCTGTTGTCGACGAATCACGGAAGACGACGACGATAATAGTTGCTGCTCTGGTGGTGGCGTGGCCGCTGCCGCTTTCGAAATTTCCAGCTCGGGCTCCGTCCTCTAGTCTTCTTCCTCGCATTAGCATATTAAATGTGCTCCCATATCTACCGTGCACACATGGATGGAGGGTCACTTATTGGCCGCCGCTAGACAACTCCATTCTCAGCCAAATTAGAATGCCGCTCGTCCAGTGCACGCTTTTGCTTCTTTGATCCCACAAGGATGCATCCAACTTCGACCAGCAACCTGTCCGATTTTGGTTTGCGGATTAATGGTGGTCGTTTGAACGACCCCAAAGCTTCCCCCCTGCAAATCAGCGCTCCGCCTTCTTTGGGTTGAGCTCCAACTTTGAGTTCCTCCTTTCTGCCACTTCCGGATCGATAGGTGAGAGCCTCGTCGAGGTGGTGACCACCACGGCACACTATTTCCTTCCCATCGGTTCCACATCGTTGGGTGAGAGCCTCACATAGGTGATAATCACCATTGCGCACTGTTTCCTTCCCGCCGATCTCATTGACGGAGATCTCCATCTCCTCCGCCTCCCTGATTTCATTGGCGTCGACGCGGGCCACATCGTCGTCGCTTCGCCCGCCATCGTTGATGGAGACGCGGTTGTGGTTGGATTCCAACCTCTGCACAAGTTGTAACATCCTATTATAAAGTGCCTTGGTTCTTTTGCCATCAGCTACCATCTTTGCCCAAATTTCGAGAGCGTGTTGGTAAAGGTCAGCTGCCTTTCCTCTCTTTGCCGCGGAAGCACGGGATCTGATACCAATTGATGGAAACGTAACCCACATTTCAAGGGTTTGCTTGTAACTCACAAGCAAGAGAACGACGTAGAGTGTAAAAAAACTTTTAGGTTTATTATTCGATTGATAAGTCGGACTAATGTCGTGATTACTATATATAGGTGAGTAAACCTAATACGTAACCCTACCTAACCCGAAACCCTACTAACTACTCTAGCTTACTCGACAATACCCATAAGAAGAATCCTAATTGACTACTAAGCTGATACACTACTACCCTACCAACTACGTAAACAGACTAACCCAAACTAATCTAAACAACCTTAACTAAACACTAATCCATCCCACCAGCGCTCATATGAGCACTTCTACTATGCTATATAGCATTGGTGCTTTAATGTATAACTCAAAGTTGTACCATAACATTAAATGTATAAGTTTAGGTTGTACCATAAAGCAATTTGTACCATTATGTTATGGTACAACTTTACATTTTGAAATTGTACCATCACATAAAGGTACAAGTTCAAGTTGTACCATAAAAGATTTTGTACAAAAAGTATAGGTACAATCTGTAGTTGTACCATAACGTAAATGTACAATTTTAATTGTACCACAAAAGCAAAAACCTATAGCACCAATACTGTAACACCCTACCCTATACGTATTACCTAATCATATTGTTCATACAATTGCAGCGGAAATAATCTCGGGTGTTACATTAATTATCAAAATTTACCTAAATAAAATTTCGACATGAATTACTCGCGTAATGGGCTAACAGTTCTTGCAACTTATCCTGCAAAATAATTCATCACAAACATATATACTCACAACCATAAGCATTGGCTTTCATAGCCAAAGTCACAGTTTCATACTACACAACTGCATACTATACTGATACAAGCCATAATCGTCACAACTTACATAATTACAAAAATATACACATATCATCAACTTTCCACACCTGTGGATATCTCACACTACATCAGAAGCTAGTATGCACATGAAAAACGTTCTCAAAACATTTTTACAAAAAGGTGTGGATCACTGGCCAAAATCCCAAGTAGTAGTCCAAGCACAGAATAGTTGAAGACCATACCTCATCCTGGCTTCAACTCTAGCTCCTCTCCCACCTAACACTTATCTACTGCTGCTGCTGATGATCTGCTTACACATAGCATAAGCAGAGAAGAAGAATAAAAGAGGGTCAGCTCATAGCTGAGTGAGATAATCATAGCATCGTGAGTTCATAACAGAGCATACCCCTACCATACATCTAGCAAACGAGCCAAAACACTAGGGTCGGACCTCAGCCATCCTCATATCCCAATAAGCAAAAGACTCAACCACTTTGACTTATGCATATGCATCTTATCATGTTTTAATCATAGGCGCCTGGCTACTCCCATGCTAATAACTCTCCCGGGAAACATACCCCACATCCCGTCGGATGTAGTCATACATACCCCAACATCCCGTCGGATGTGGTCATACATACCCCACACCACTATGGGTGTAGTCATACCCCGACACCACTCTGGGTGTGGTCATATCTCGTAAGAATTCTTCAGTCACCACCACATGAGAGGTGTGACTATCATATCATAATAGAGTAATAGCATAGGGAGCCCTAATTACTATGTAGTTGACCGTGAGACCACAACACTCATATTTGGTATCCTTATACATGATTCATATCTCATCTTGCTTAATCATAATTCATTACTTGCACATGTACTTGACCTGGCCATAATTGGCTCAACATAGGTAAACCAGGAGTCGTATAGTTGCACTTCCTCGGGATAAACCCTCGTGCAAGTCATCCTCCTTAAAACATCATGATATCACCAGGGAATATATATTTTCCCACTTATGCATCCAAATACAACAATCATGAAAAATCATATCCAATCACCTTCTCGAACCAACATAAGGCATATTCACAATTAAACCCACATCTGGCAACATATATGGAATTAGCAACATAAACAAGGTCCATATCGATTAAGGCAAGTCAATAATATCATACAGAAGCCTATAGTTCATCATATAGCAGAGAAGTCCATACACCCATAATCATGCCATTCTAATTCACCTAGGTCAATTCTAAGCATCAATATAATTATCGTGATACGACAAACCCGGTATGCCGTGCTAATCCCTCACCAGTTCTGGTCGTTCAAACACCGGTTTTAGCTTCCCGTACTAAAACGTCAATTTCACGAACGAATCCCGAATTAAAATCCGAGACCGTCCTAATACCCCCTGCAGTATCCCCGTCAATATTAGTTCTGGGCTCCAGGCCAAATTCTTGATAAAAACACATCAAACCCTGGCCGGAGCTAAATTCAGCGGTTTGGACCCCGGCCTAAATAATAGCCGAAAATCAGGAATTAGAACTAGGGGATTGATTACCTCGCTGCAGGAAGCTCGTATATGAAATTCGGGCTCAATCTGGCTTCCGGATACTCCGAAACCCTAATTTGGCAGATCGGGAATTCAAGAAATTCCTGAACCAAAAACTCGTTTTAAAACTCTAAATCGATAAATCACGATGTATGGATGAATTAGGCATTACTTACGGGATTTTTGGATCACTGTAGCTCAAGATTGGAGCTTGGGAATTTTTCACAGAAGCCTCCCTGTGCGTGCTCTGCTTCTCGTTTACTCTCGTTTGAGAAATTGAAAAAGTGATGATGATGATGATAATGGACGGGGAAGTTATATATGTCCGGCCGCTTAGTTAATATATATATATCGATCGATAATCCGATTTTCGCCGAAATACTATTAAAACGCTCGATTTTAAATCGCGAACTTTCTAGCGATCAAAATATGGGTTTAGCCGAAATGGGATGTTACAATTCTCCCCTCCTTAAAAGATTTCGTCCCCGAAATCTATTCTTGAGTCGATGGTACAAATCCGCTCATTCCCCCCCCCCCCCCCTAACCTACACTATCACAAATCTTGTTACTACCTTACTTTTAGGTTAGGAGATTCATAACATAGAGAGTAACACATAACACCTCAAGTTCCCATGTTTAGGTTTCAAAAACCTATACTGGGCTATCACAACAAAAGCACATCAACAAGTTCAAAACATAACTTATTAGGCAAGATTGTTAACCTGCAAAGTAGGTTGCTACTAACTCAGGGTACTTCTCTCTCATACTTGCTTCAGTCTCCCAGGTAGCACTCTCACTATCTTGATTCCTCCACACAACCTTCAACATTGGAATTTCCTTTCTACGAAGAGTTTTAACCTGATGGTCAACAATCTGCACTGGGACTTCTTCAAATGTTAAATCTGTACCCAACTCGATCTCTTCTGGTTGTATAACATGGGAAGGATCCACTTTGTACCTTTTCAGCATACTAACATGAAATACATTGTGGATTTGAGATATTTCTGGAGGCAATGCTAACTTATAAGCCACTGGTCCAATCTTCTCTGTGATTTCATATGGCCCAATATATCGAGGTGCAAGCTTTCCTTTCTTACCAAATCTCATCACCCCTTTCCATGGTGACACTTTGAGAAATACTTTCTCACCCACTTCGAAATGAACTTCACGCCTATTCGTGTCAACATAAACTTTCTGTCGATCTTGAGCCACCCTCATACGCTCCCTGATTTCCTTGACCTTATCAACTGTGATCTGAACTATCTCTGGCCCTGAGATTTGCCTTGCTCCTTCTACATCCCAACATAATGGTGTTCTACATTTTCTCCCATAAAGTGCTTCATATGGTGGAACACCCAAACTACTATGGTACTGATTGTTGTAAGCAAACTCAATTAAGGGCAAATGGTCAATCCATGATTCTTCCCATTGCATTACACATGATCGAAGTAATTCCTCCAAGGTTAGGATGGTTCGTTCACTCTGCCCATCTGTTTGAGGATGATAAGCTGAAGTAAAATGTAATTTAGTTCCCAAGGCATCATGTAAACTTTGCCAAAACCGAGATGTGAAGCTCGGGTCTCGATCAGAGACAATAGAAATTGGCACACCATGCAATCTGACGATCTCCTTAATATATAGTTGAGACAAAGTCTCCAGTGATGGTTTCCATCTAATGGGTAAAAAGTGAGCCGATTTGGTTAGTCGGTCCACAATAACCCATATTGCATCTTTTCCCCTTGATGATGGGAGACCATATACAAAATCCATTGTGATTCTTTCCCACTTCCATTCTGGAATTGGAAGTGGTTGCAGTTTTCCCACAGGAGCTTGATGTTCTGCCTTAACTTTCTGACATACTAGACATGTGAAAACATGTTCAGCCGCTTCCTTTTTCATCCCACGCCACCAAAAATATGGTTTGATCGTGTGATACATTTTAGTTGCTCCTGGGTGCATAGCATAAGCAGAAGAATGAGCTTCATCTAGTATCTCTTTCCTCAAGTTATCAACATTAGGAACACATGTTCTTCCATTAATCTTCAACATGCCATCTACCATTTCAAATGGGCTTTCTTTTCCTTCCTCAATGTCTTGAATGATTTTTACCAACTCTGGGTCCTCCTTCTGCTTCTCACGAATTTTGTCGTGCAACAAAGGTCGAATGTTCAACCGAGCTAGTAACCCTGTTACACCATCTACTTCCAAATCAACATTCATTGCCCTCAAATCAACCAGATCATTTATATTCTTCTTCCCCTTTCTGCTCAGAGCATCAGCAACTACATTAGCTTTACCTGGATGGTAATCAATGGTACAATCATAATCTTTCAACAACTCTATCCATCTCCTCTGGCGACTATTTAAATCCTTCTGATCCATAATATACTTCAAGCTTTTGTGATCAGTTAGAATTTTAAAAGTCTCACCATACAAATAATGTCGCCAAATCTTGAGAGCAAATACCACCGCTGCCAATTCTAAGTCATGAGTTGGATAATTTACTTCATGAGGACGCAATTGCCTAGAGGCATATGCGATAACTCTTCCATCTTGCATTAACACACAGCCCAATCCTTGATACGAGGCATCACTATACACCACAAACTCTCCTTGACTTGAAGGTAGTGCAAGTACTGGTGCTGTGGTCAATCTCTTTTTCAGTTCATCAAAACTCTTTTGACATGATTCATCCCAAACATACTTAGTATTCTTCCTCAACAGTTTAGTCAATGGTGCAGCAATTTTAGAAAATCCTTCTACGAACCGCCGATAATAACCAGCCATGCCAAGAAAACTTCTCAACTCCGACACATCTTTTGGTGGAGTCCAACTCACCACTGCTTCCACCTTTTTCGGATCCACCTCGACACCTCTTCCAGAAATTACATGTCCCAGAAATATTACCTCCTTCAGCCAAAACTCACATTTTGAGAATTTTGCATATAATTGTTTCTCCCTTAGAATTTGCAACACAATTCTAAGGTGAGTTTTGTGCTCCTCCTCGCTTTTAGAATAGATGAGAATATCATCTATGAACACAATCACAAACTTATCAAGATATTCATGGAAAACTCTGTTCATAAGAGCCATAAATACCGCTGGTGCATTAGTGAGTCCAAAAGGCATTACCAGGAACTCATAATGCCCATATCTTGTTCTAAAAGCTGTTTTTGAGGTTGCTCCATCTGCCACTTTCAATTGATGGTATCCAGATCTCAAATCAATCTTAGAAAAGACTGAGGCACCCTGCAATTGATCAAACAAATCATCTATTCTTGGAAGGGGATAACGATTCTTCACTGTCGCCTTATTCAACCTCCGGTAGTCAATGCACATTCTCATGGAACCATCTTTCTTCTTGACAAACAAAACCGGTGCACCCCAAGGTGAGATGCTAGGTCGAATAAACCCCTTGTCTAACAATTCTTGCAATTTTTCTTTAAGCTCCTTCAGCTCAATTGGTGCCATTCTATATGGTGCCATTGAAATTGGTGTTGTGCCAGGTACCAATTCAATATCAAACTCTACTTCCCTTTCTGGTGGAAGGCCGGGAAGTTCTTCAGGGAATACATCAGGAAATTCCCTTACCACCTCTACATCCTCAACCTTCTTATCATTTACTATAGTAACTTGAGCAAGAAAGGCTTCACAACCTTCCTTCACTAATCGAAAAGCTTCCAAGGCAGAAAGAAAACCATGAGTCTTTTTCTTAATGCCTCGGAATACAACAGGACCTTTATCTGGTGTGCTGAATAACACTTCTTTCTTTTGACAATCCACAACAGCTCCATGTGTTGCCAGAAAGTCCATTCCAAGGATGACATCAAATTCATCAAAAGGTAGCAGAATTAAATCTGCTGCTAGGAAAGCTCCTTCCACACAAATGAAGGAACTTCTAATAACTGAGTCTACCTTCAAGGTATCTCCCACAGGTGTTTTAACACATAAGGTATAACCTAGCTTATCTGGAACTAAGCGTAGCATATGTGCAAACGTATATGACATGAATGAGTGAGAGGAACCAGTATCGATCAAAGCATATAATTGCTTGCCAAGGATAGAAAGCATACCAGTCACAACTTCTGGTGCCACTTCTGCCTCACCTCGAGTCATTGCATAAACCCTCGGTGCTCCCTGTGCTCTGGTACCCTGCGTACCACTTCCTGATGGCTGATTTCGACCACCACCTCTACCACCCTGTGAACCACCACGACCACTCTGAAATCCACTACGGCCTCCCTGGTAACCACCCCTGAATGGGGCTCTACTCATTTGCACTGAAGGCTCGGACTGTGTAGCTCTTACTTCTCTCGCATGCGGGCAATCCCTCATGATGTGCCCAGGTTGGCCACACTGAAAGCATACACCAGAAAATCTCCTACACTCTCCAAGATGCCTCTTCTGACAAACTTGACAAAATGGAAATTGTGTGGCTGAGGAAATTGGTGCCCTGTATGATGTTCCTGACATAGATTGATTCGGTGTTCTCCCAAAACTGCTAGGACCTCTCCTGGGTGGGTAACGAGGTCCAGCATAATTTACTCCAAACTTCCTCTTCTTCTCCTCTTCTTTGGCCTTGTGTTCCTCTCGGCTCTCAACTTCATAGGCTTCATACTTAAGTGCTGCCTCCTTGACTGTGGCCATGCTCTCTTCATCAACCCTGTGGATCTTTTCTTTCAATCCTATGCGCAGACCATGCAAGTATCTCATCTTCTTCTTATGCTCAGTATCCGCCAACCCATCCTCAAAGTAAAGCAGTCGAACAAACTTGATGGTGTACTCAGTAACTGTCATATTCTCCTGCTTAAGGTTGGAAAATTCATTGTTCTTTGCCCTGATAAAAGCTTCGGGAAGAAACTCTGTCTTAAAGGCCTTCAGAAACTCCTCCCAGGTGAACTGAACTCGTTCACCATTAACTCTAGAGACTGAGGACCACCAGCTCCTCGCATACCCCTTTAGGAGAAAAACAACATACTGCACTTTTTCCTCTGGGGTTGCATAAAGATACTCAAACACATCTTCCATCTCTCTCAACCACTCTACTACAGCATCTGGGCTCACATCTCCCTTAAAGTCCCTACCACCCAAACTCTTCATCTTTGCATAATCTAATACTGGCGGTCTTGCATCAACCGCCCCCACTCCTCTCGACTGGTCAGTAGGAACATTTTCACAACTTCCGTGCGAGCTACAAGGAAATATTGGCCTTAGATTGATCCACACAAAATTCATTCTTCACCAAATCTCTCACTTGGTTAAAACAAAAAAATTTCCAAAATAATTACTTGAAAACAAATAAGTTCAAAACTCAATTTTGAAAACCATGATGCAGGTAATTTCATCCAATATGCCAATACACATAATCATGTCAAACTCAATTCCCAGTTTAAGTCATTATGGGGTACTCCCCTCCTTAGGAGTGTTTAACCTCCCATAGGGTATAGTACGCCATAACAACAAAAAGAGGGAACCGGGCTCTGATACCAAACTGTAACACCCTACCCTATACGTATTACCTAATCATATTGTTCATACAATTGCAGCGGAAATAATCTCGGGTGTTACATTAATTATCAAAATTTACCTAAATAAAATTTCGACATGAATTACTCGCGTAGTGGGCTAACAGTTCTTGCAACTTATCCTGCAAAATAATTCATCACAAACATATATACTCACAACCATAAGCATTGGCTTTCATAGCCAAAGTCACAGTTTCATACTACACAACTGCATACTATACTGATACAAGCCATAATCGTCACAACTTACATAATTACAAAAATATACACATATCATCAACTTTCCACACCTGTGGATATCTCACACTACATCAGAAGCTAGTATGCACATGAAAAACGTTCTCAAAACATTTTTACAAAAAGGTGTGGATCACTGGCCAAAATCCCAAGTAGTAGTCCAAGCACAGAATAGTTGAAGACCATACCTCATCCTGGCTTCAACTCTAGCTCCTCTCCCACCTAACACTTATCTACTGCTGCTGCTGATGATCTGCTTACACATAGCATAAGCAGAGAAGAAGAATAAAAGAGGGTCAGCTCATAGCTGAGTGAGATAATCATAGCATCGTGAGTTCATAACAGAGCATACCCCTACCATACATCTAGCAAACGAGCCAAAACACTAGGGTCGGACCTCAGCCATCCTCATATCCCAATAAGCAAAAGACTCAACCACTTTGACTTATGCATATGCATCTTATCATGTTTTAATCATAGGCGCCTGGCTACTCCCATGCTAATAACTCTCCCGGGAAACATACCCCACATCCCGTCGGATGTAGTCATACATACCCCAACATCCCGTCGGATGTGGTCATACATACCCCACACCACTATGGGTGTAGTCATACCCCGACACCACTCTGGGTGTGGTCATATCTCGTAAGAATTCTTCAGTCACCACCACATGAGAGGTGTGACTATCATATCATAATAGAGTAATAGCATAGGGAGCCCTAATTACTATGTAGTTGACCGTGAGACCACAACACTCATATTTGGTATCCTTATACATGATTCATATCTCATCTTGCTTAATCATAATTCATTACTTGCACATGTACTTGACCTGGCCATAATTGGCTCAACATAGGTAAACCAGGAGTCGTATAGTTGCACTTCCTCGGGATAAACCCTCGTGCAAGTCATCCTCCTTAAAACATCATGATATCACCAGGGAATATATATTTTCCCACTTATGCATCCAAATACAACAATCATGAAAAATCATATCCAATCACCTTCTCGAACCAACATAAGGCATATTCACAATTAAACCCACATCTGGCAACATATATGGAATTAGCAACATAAACAAGGTCCATATCGATTAAGGCAAGTCAATAATATCATACAGAAGCCTATAGTTCATCATATAGCAGAGAAGTCCATACACCCATAATCATGCCATTCTAATTCACCTAGGTCAATTCTAAGCATCAATATAATTATCGTGATACGACAAACCCGGTATGCCGTGCTAATCCCTCACCAGTTCTGGTCGTTCAAACACCGGTTTTAGCTTCCCGTACTAAAACGTCAATTTCACGAACGAATCCCGAATTAAAATCCGAGACCGTCCTAATACCCCCTGCAGTATCCCCGTCAATATTAGTTCTGGGCTCCAGGCCAAATTCTTGATAAAAACACATCAAACCCTGGCCGGAGCTAAATTCAGCGGTTTGGACCCCGGCCTAAATAATAGCCGAAAATCAGGAATTAGAACTAGGGGATTGATTACCTCGCTGCAGGAAGCTCGTATATGAAATTCGGGCTCAATCTGGCTTCCGGATACTCCGAAACCCTAATTTGGCAGATCGGGAATTCAAGAAATTCCTGAACCAAAAACTCGTTTTAAAACTCTAAATCGATAAATCACGATGTATGGATGAATTAGGCATTACTTACGGGATTTTTGGATCACTGTAGCTCAAGATTGGAGCTTGGGAATTTTTCACAGAAGCCTCCCTGTGCGTGCTCTGCTTCTCGTTTACTCTCGTTTGAGAAATTGAAAAAGTGATGATGATGATGATAATGGACGGGGAAGTTATATATGTCCGGCCGCTTAGTTAATATATATATATATATATATATATATATATATTATATATATATAATTAATACGTATACTTATCCGATCGATCGATAATCCGATTTTCGCCGAAATACTATTAAAACGCTCGATTTTAAATCGCGAACTTTCTAGCGATCAAAATATGGGTTTAGCCGAAATGGGATGTTACAAATACTATATAGCATTGTAAAATTCCTCGCGCTCATATACATCGAGCAAGATCTCTCCCCATTCGGCCCGATATGTTCTCATCATAACATTTCTTTAATGAACAAGCCTATGAATTCCAATAGCCAAGCATCAGTTCATATTAAAAGTATCATCTTAATCATACCAATATCAGTTTGATGACTCTATTCATTAGTTTACTTCAAAAGTCAGCAAAAAAGAATATGGTGGTGCGGCGCCGAACAAGTGATTTGAATGGAACCCCCAACTGTAGGGATTTGAATGAGACAAATAGAGATTTGAATGAGTCTTACTAATTTGCGAGAAATTTATTATAAATGTTAGTCATCTTGTCTTATTACTATTTGGAGAATTGCATTAGCGGGTTAACCCACAACCTAATCGGATAAATCGCCCGAAATCTGTGATGGTACCCCTTTGGAATATGCCAAAAATTGACCCGGAATAAATCCGCCCAAATCGGTGCTTAATGGACTCAATCATCGTTGGAGAATAGCCTCATTCCGAATCCGTGATCTGTAGTCTTCAATATCCAAAGAAAATGGACTTTCGTCGCCTAAGAAATTACGAAAATGCCATCCGAAAATAAATTGGCCCAAACCGATGCTTAACGGACTTATCATCCAAGGAGAATAGGATCAATAGACTTCATTGTCGGTGGATAATAGCCTCGGCCTGATTCTGTGATCTGTAGCCTCCAAAATCGAAAGAAGATGACATTTCGGATAAATCGCCTGAAATTTGTGATGGTACCCCTTTGGAATCTGCAAAAAATTGAACCGGAATAAATCCTCCCAAATCGGTGCTTCATGGACTCAATCATCGTTGAAAAATAGCCTCAGACCGAATCCGTGATCTGTAGCCTTCTATATCCAAAGAAAATGGCCTTTCGTCGCCCAAGAAATTACGAAAATGACATCCGAAAATAAATTGGCCCAAATCGATGCTTAACAAACTTATCATCCGTGGAGAATAGGATCAACAGACTTCATTATCGATGGAGAATAGCCTCGGCCAGATTCCGTGATCTGTAGCCTCCAGAATCGAAAGAAAATGGCATTTCGGATCAATCTCCCGAAATCTGTGATGGTACCCATTTGGAATATGCCAAAAATTGACCCCGAATAAATCCGCCCAAATCGGTGCTTAATGGACTCAATCATCGTTGGAGAATAGCCTCAGGCCGAATCCGTAATCTGTAGCCTTCAATATCCAAAGAAAATGGACTTTCAACTCCCAAGAAATTACGAAAATGCCATCTGAAAATTATTTGGCCCATATCGATGTTTAACGGACTTATCATCCGTGGAGAATAGGATCAATAGACTTCATTATTGGTGGAGAATAGCCTCGGCCAGATTCCGTGATCTGTAGCCTCCAGAATCGAAAGAAAATGGCATTTCGGATAAATCGCCCGAAATCTGTGATGGTACACCTTTGGAATCTGCCAAATATTGACCCGGAATAAATCCGCCCAAATTGGTGCTTAATGGACTCAATCATTGTTGGAGAATGGCCTTAGGCCGAATCCGTGATCCGTAGCCTTCAATATTCAAAGAAAATGGACTTTCGTCGCCAAAGAAATTACGAAAATGCCATCTGAAAATAAATTGGCCCAAATCGATGCTTAACGAACTTATCATCCGTGGAGAAAAGGATCAATAGACTTCATTATCGGTGGATAATAGCCTCGGCCTGATTCCGTTATCTGTAGCCTTCAGAATCTAAAGAAAATGGCATTTCGGATCAATCGCCCGAAATCTGTGATGGTACCCCTTTGGAATATGCCAAAAATTGACCCGGAATAAATCCGCCCAAATCGGTGCTTAATGGACTCAATCATCGTTGGAGAATAGCCTCATTCCGAATCCGTGATCTGTAGCCTTCAATATCCATTGAAAATGGCCTTTCGTCGCCCAAGAAATTACGAAAATGACATCCAAAAATAAATTGGCCCAAATCGATGCTTAACGGACTTATCATCCGTGGAGAATAGGATCAAAAGACTTCATTATCGGTGGAGAATATCCTCGGCGAGATTCCGTGATCTGTAGCCTCCAGAATCGAATGAAAATGGCATTTCGGATAAATCACCCGAAATCTGTGATGGTACCCCTTTGGAATCTGCCAAAAATTGACCCGGATTAAATCCGCCCAAATCGGTGCTTAATGGACTCAATCATCGTTGGAGAATAGCCTCAGGCCGAATCCGTGATCTGTAGCCTTCAATATTCAAAGAAAATGGACTTTCGTCGCCCAAGAAATTACGAAAATGCCATCCGAAATAAATTGGTCCAAATCGATGCTTTATAGACTTATCATCCGTGGAGAATAGGATCAATAGACTTCATTATCGGTTGATAATAGCCTCGTCCGGATTTTGTGATCTGTAGCCTCCAGAATCGAAAGAAAATGGCATTTCGGATAAATCGCACGAAATCTGTGATGGTACACCTTTGGAATCTGCCAAAAATTGATCCGGAATAAATCCGCCCAAATCGGTGCTTAATGGACTCAATCATCGTTGGAGAATAGCCTCAGGCCGAATCCGTAATCTGTAGCCTTCAATATCCAAAGAAAATGGACTTTCATCGCCCAAGAAATTACGAAAATACCATCTGAAAATAATTTGGCCCATATCGATGTTTAACGGACTTATCATCCGTGGAGAATAGGATCAATAGACTTCATTATTGGTGGAGAATAGCCTCGGCCAGATTCCGTGATTTGTAGCCTCTAGAATCGAAAGAAAATGGCATTTCGGATAAATCGCCCGAAATCTGTGATGGTACCCCTTTGGAATCTGCCAAAAATTGACACGGAATAAATCCGCCCAAATCGGTGCTTAATAGACTCAATCATCGTTGGAGAATAGCCTCAGGCCGAATCCGTGATCTGTAGTCTTCAATATTCAAAGAAAATGGACTTTCGTCGCCCAAGAAATTACGAAAATGCCATCCGAAAATAAATTGGCCCAAACCGATGCTTAACGGACTTATCATCCAAGGAGAATAGGATCAATAGACTTCATTGTCGGTGGATAATAGCCTCGGCCTGATTCTGTGATCTGTAGCCTCCAGAATCGAAAGAAAATGGAATTTCGGATAAATCGCTTGAAATTTGTGATGGTACCCCTTTGGAATCTGCAAAAAATTGACCCGGAATAAATCCACCCAAATCGGTGCTTAATGGACTCAATCATCGTTGGAGAATAGACTCAGGCCGAATCCGTGATCTGTAGTCTTCAATATTCAAAGAAAATGGACTTTCGTCGCCCAAGAAATTACGAAAATGTCATCCGAAAATAAATTGGCCCAAACCGATGCTTAACGGACTTATCATCCAAGGAGAATAGGATCAATAGACTTCATTGTCGGTGGATAATAGCCTCGGCCTGATTTTGTGATCTGTAGCCTCCAGAATCGAAAGAAAATGGAATTTCAGATAAATCGCTCGGAATTTGTGATGGTACGCCTTTGGAATCTGCCAAAAATTGACCCGGAATAAATCCACCCAAATCGGTGCTTAATGGACTCAATCATCGTTGAAAAATAGTCTCAGGCCGAATCCGTGATCTGTAGCCTTCAATATCAATTGAAAATGGCCTTTCGTCGCCCAAGAAATTACGAAAATGACATCCAAAAATAAATTGGCCCAAATCGATGCTTAACGGACTTATCATCCGTGGAGAATAGGATCAATAGACTTCATTATGGGTGGAGAATAGCCTCGGCCAGATTCCGTGATCTGTAGCATCCAGAATCGAAAGAAAATGGCATTTCGGATAAATCACCAGAAATCTGTGATGGTACCCCTTTGGAATCTGCCAAAAATTGACCCGGATTAAATCCGCCCAAATCGGTGCTTAATGGATTCAATCAACGTTGGAGAATAGCCTCAGGTCGAATCCGTGATCTGTAGCCTTCAATATTCAAAGAAAATGGACTTTCGTCGCCCAAAAAATTATGAAAATGCCATCCGAAATAAATTGGTCTAAATCGATGCTTTATGGACTTATCATCCGTGGAAAATAGGATCAAGAGACTTCATTATCGGTTGATAATAGCCTCGGCCTGATTCCGTGATCTGTAGCCTCCAGAATCGAAAGAAAATCGCATTTCGGATAAATCGGCCGAAATCTGTGATGGTACCCCTTTGGAATCTGCCAAAAATTGACCAGAATAAATCCACCCAAATCAGTGCTTAATGGACTCAATCATCGTTGGAGAATAGCCTCAGACCGAATCCGTGATCTGTAGCCTTAAATATTAAAAGAAAATGGACTTTCGTTGCCCAAAAAATTACGAAAATTCCAACCGAAAAGAAATTGGCCCAAATCGATGCTAAACGGACTTATCATCCGTGGAGAATAGGACCAATAGACTTCATTATTGGTGGATAATAGCCTCGGCCTGATTCCGTGATTTGTAGCCTCCAGAATCAAAAGAAAATGGCATTTAATATAAATCGCCCGAAATCTGAGATGGTACCCTTTTGGAATCTGCCAAAAATTGACCTGGAATAAATCCGCCCAAATATGTGCTTAATGGATGTCGCAACCGTCCCGTCCGGGGGGTCCGAATGTCGTCGCGTCGGCATTTTGGGAGTCGCCATCGATCTTACTTGGAGTGGATCGAACACTCGTCTGTCGGCTCTAACCTTAGGGTCAGAACCGAGATATGGTCTGCGAAAACAAAGTTCTGGGTTCGGGAGTACGGTTACGTATGGGGAAGTTAAGCAACACCCCCACAACGCCCTAAA